GTCATTTGTTTCTAGTACTATTGATGCATGACATGAATACACATATATTTGTAATATCACTTCCTCAGGCAAGGTGCCTAGTATAGCGCCACCTATTGATAATGACTTGATATCAAACTCTCAGAAGGCTACAAGAACATGGTTGTGTTGAGGTCCAAGGATCCCCTTTTTGCCAGCGCATCATGGGGATTTCAGTCTTAAGATTGTCATTATGTCAGGCAAAGAGTTTTCACTGTGGCTGCAGCGAGGTCGATCTCAAATAAATAGTCTAAACAAAGGCTTCTACGGGAATTGAATCTATTTCTATGAATTGTTGAAACATAAAGTGTAAATTAGTGTGTGTATTTTGTACTTCATACTGAGAGATGTTGATGTTAGTATGTAGTGTAAGACATGCAAGCCCATGCTGGTTTAATATGTACATTTGATTTGATATGAAGAACAATGATGATAGTGAAGATATTGTTAAATAATGTGATGATATATTATGAGAGTGCTGAAGCACTAAGTAGAAATTCAGAATTTATAATTGTTTAGTTAATTGTTTAAACATGCTATAGTGAAGTCTAGTTGTGATACTTGTAGTGTGAGTTTGTATTTATGTAAAGCCATTTAATGCAGATGGACTAGAATAGAGACTGTGTTATTGCTATATTGATTATGCTATGATGTACTTGTACTTATGATTATTTATCTGTGATTTATCCACAGTTTTCACGGAATTTACTGGAACGAAAATGAAACTCCAATTAAAGATACAATTCCCGTAGAAGCCTTTGTTTAGACTATTTATTTGAGATCGACCTCGCTGCAGCCACAGTGAAAACTCTTTGCCTGACATAATGACAATCTTAAGACTGAAATCCCCATGATGCGCTGGCAAAAAGGGGATCCTTGGACCTCAACACAACCATGTTCTTGTAGCCTTCTGAGAGTTTGATATCAAGTCATTATCAATAGGTGGCGCTATACTAGGCACCTTGCCTGAGGAAGTGCTATTACAAATATATGTGTATTCATGTCATGCATCAATAGTACTAGAAACAAATGACTTGGGTGATAAAGAATTTAAGTGCAACTGTCACAACAAATATATTGAGCGCCTTGAACACTTTGCGTGGTGGGTTTGTGCGATAAGAAAATATTCCAATAATATGGTGATGATGACGATGATGTGAGAGAGAGAGAGAGAGAGAGAGAGAGAGAGAGAGAGAGGAAGGATGATAGTGAGTTAGAGATGGGTAGATACATAGGGATGTGGGAGAGAAAGAGGGGGAGGAGAGAAAAAAAATAGGGGGAGCCTTTATGTATGCTTAATGAATCGTTTAAATCAGAAGGAAATATAGCAAAAGAGACTCAGATTTATATTTCAAAATTTTATAAGCTCTCTTATACCCATACATAAATATTTTTCACTTTTTCATTTTGTTACTCATTATGTCTAAATGTACTTTATTGTTACTTTCACTTCACTTGACGAGTTTGTTGACGTACCCAGGGGTCTTTTGTATATATTAAACACGAACTGTGTAAATTATCAAGGGAGCTGAATTACATCGTTGTTTGGAGAAACTATTCGCCCATCGGCTAAATGGTGGTATACAGAATGTTTTCCATTTGAAGGTGTTTTGTATAAATTCTAAAGCCTAAAAAGGGAGAAAATAGGACTCGCATATTTTTTTTAGAAAACATGAACACAAAATATAATGAATTCTCGACTCGTGTTTCTATATTTTCTATATTTTCTATATATTGTATTTAAAAGCTAATTTCCAGTACCACAGCATAGTTATGTAATAACATATTTTCATAATTATCTTCTCATTGGTTCTTCTGTGTATACACATCCCCATCTATTAATGAAAGTGTGTTTTACACTCATATACAAGAGGAACACATGACCCCTTTCGTTTTTAACACAAAGAAATTAGACTATCGCATAAATGCATGTCAGTGTCATCGTTTTGATATATTCTGTTGAAACTCGCACTTATGGTGCATATAATAGAAAAACGTGTCTCAAAATGGATGTCGTTGGTATAGGTGTTTGACTTTAATAATATTAATCAGATTAATCAAGGTCTTGTGATTGCAAATAATTCGCCGAATCAACCAGCTGTCGAATAAGCGGGGGGGGGGGGGGGGGGGGGGGGGGGAGTTAGGAGCACAATTTCTTTTCTTCCCAATTTGTGAGAAAATATTTCGCACTGAATCAGCCAACCGGGGAGGGGGGGGGGGGGGGGCTGGGATAAGAGCACTTACCCGTCTTTTTTTTTCTTCAAAACGGTTAAAGGTACTACAAAGTTTTGGGAAATTTTGAAAATTGGGTGGATTGTGAATCTTTACAATTTTGATATATTTGGATGCCCTGTGGATGTTAGTATAAGCACTAATACAAATAAGCCCCTAGAACACTTCTGTTTTTGAGAAAAATTGAATATAAAAATTTTGATAAATTTCAAATAGCGCCTATGACCGTACAATGGTAGCTGCGACCATGAAAATCTCAGAATATGTAGTTGTAATATATAATTTCCAGACGAGAATAGCTAATTGGTCGATTTTTGTCAAGAAACATTGTCTCATAGCTAAATTAATATCTTGAACTTGAGAGGGAGCTATACAACATAAAGAGTTTATTACTTATAAATTCATAACTTTAGACTCGATTTCAACCGCGACAACGATCAATGAATATTGTAGTAACGCATATGCTTGCAATATGTTCATTTGAACCAAACTCATGACCCCATACCAAAACTTTGTATTACCTTTAAGTTTACCTGTTTTAGGGGGCAAGGAAGGCCCCCAACCTTGGGCTGCCAAGTGAAAATGTGCATAAGAAACGCCACCATGTGTCCAGACCCACACAGTTTTAGTAGATGTCAGTAGATGCCAGGAAAACATCACTTACGGGGGTTCAAAATAGCAACAACAACAAAAATGGCCTCGCCGCTTTGCGACTCGTGGAAGATCGGGTCAACCCCCCCCCCCCCCCTTAGCAAAAAGCTAGATCCGCCCCTGCTGCCCAAATCCCCCCCCCCCCCCCTAGATCCGCCACTGAGGGATAGAGCCTTTGCTCCGAACATGCAGTGCCTTCGCTGTGGAATACTCTCCCTCGAGAGATTAGTAATAGCAGATCAGTTGAAGTGTAAACATAATCTTAAAACTTATTTTTTTAATTTGGATTGCACTTTATTGTTCTATCATTTTTGTATGTTCTATCTTACTTCCGAGTTTTGTTTATAATGCAGATGCTTTTGCGCAGACGCTCTTTCTTTCTTCTTTCTTCGTTTGTTTGTTTGTTTGTTCTTGTCTTGGGCATTTGATTTAAAGTGGATTATGCGCCTTAAAATAAAATATATTGTAGCCGAGATAATTATAAAAGCAATACAATGATTGATATCAATCGACAAAGGGAGAATTGCTACTTTTAGGCAGATGGATGATTTAGGCAAATCGATCTCATGTGTAAGTTTAAGATGAAACCGTTTTCTTCACAAAAAGACATCTTTTGTGACCCGTCTTCTATAAGTTCTATTATATTTTACTATAGATAGTCCCAGTCTATAAACAGATTCCGTGTAGATTTGTGTCTGCCCAGTGCCATCTATCCATAGATGGCTCCGTGTCTGCTCTTTAAAGAGCGCCATCTTGTGCCTAGCTCAGAATGATCATAGACATGCTTATAAATACTTATTTATGAATTAGTAGTTTTCTTGAAAACTAAAATGATTGCTTGACTTGCCTGATATAGCAACAACAAGTGTATGCATGGTGGACTGCACCTGAAGAGATGCCATTATCATGTTCTTCATAGCAAGTGAGTGAAATGGCTAGTAGGGTTTGGGACTGAATGCATATCCCTGCACATAGCTACACCCAAAGATGACATTGAAATTTCTCGTTTCAAGGTTTCTTTTATTTTCCACATAATATAACATAATCATTTGAATATGCAATATATACAAATTTAATGATATAATATCATACAAAACATACGACAAATAATTATTCAAATATTCCCTACGCTACAAAACAAAGAGGTTGTCTCTAACATTGGTGTACATACACAGAATGTGTACAGATATCGGAAATAATGACAAATGATGATCTTTCTAGCAGAGAAGAGAGAGAGAGAGAGGGGAGAGAGAGAGAGAGAGAGAGAGAGAGAAAGAGAGAGAAAGAGAGAGAGAGAGTACGAGAGAGAGAGAGAGAGAGAGAGAAAGAGAGAGAGTACGAGAGAGGGAGAGAGGGAGAGAGAGAGAGAGAGAGAGAGAGAGAGAGTAAGAAAGAGAAAGTGGACTCGGATGAAGCATGAAGGTGTCCTAAGAATTGAAAAAGAGCAAACTTTGTGATTTTTAAACAACTTATCTTATTATTGACACAGTGGGTGTTCTCCTTAGAGATTTTTTTTTTGAGGGGAGGGGCCCTATTAATTAAGAGCCCCTCCAAATTTCCTCAAGCCCCCCCCCCCCCCCGCGGCCGCCCCCAAATGATTGCAAGAAAAACTAACCCAGCTCCCAGCAATTAAATTAAAGCCTCTAATCCCTTCTCCCCCCCCCCCAAAAAAAAATATATATTTAAATATATATATACGGTATATATAATTTTATAAACGTCCAAGGTTCCGTTTCTGCTTATCAAAGACTTATCCTCTGATTATTTGAAGGCTCAGAAAACAAAATTTAATATAACTTTCCAGCACGCGAAGCTGTCAAAATCTTCAAAACCGCCGAGTGTATTCTCGTACACCGCTCTCACACCCCCCATCCTATAAGAGGATTCCCTTCCCCACCCCAACAACAACAACAACAACCCCCCCCCCCCCCCCCACCTTTTCACTCGATCCTAGATATTCGGCTATAACAATTCTTATTAGTGTATTACAAGCTACCATAATATTTCTAGTGCAATGAACAATTGAATTAGCTGCTGGATTCAACGACGATGTACATTCAATTTATACGTATATATGCGGTTGTACATAGCAGGCAAATATTCTGTCTCAACTCCTACATAGAGAGTAAACAACTAACTTCCATGACCTCTCCTGATTGATGAGGCGACCTAAGTCTAAGACAGGATACAGGAGCAACATATTATTTTAAAATATAAGCCTTTGTAAGCGGAATAGAAAGTAAGTTATCATGTTATAATGTTTGTTTTATCAGCTTGTGTGATAATTTTCATAATTTATGTGTTTGATTGTCGTGTTTGATCGTGATTTTCATGTTCTGCTCGCTCGGTCAGGATCGAAACCGCGGAGTTTATTACACAGGCGAAGGGGCTTCGCTCCGGCTGTGCGACAGGGCCACTAACTTTACTTTTCACCATTACGGTATAGATCTAGATCTAGGGGCATGGCAATGGAATGCAATGCAGGCTTCATTTGCGTACAGCGCTACCATAAATAAAATAGTATAATTGCTTATAGCCTTATACTTATAGGGCCCTTCATTAACAGGGGGTAGCCTATTGATTTATTCATGATATTGTGAAATAGGAAACCAGGGGCCCGTTTCTCGAAACCAACGACAAGACGTAGACTAGCCTTAAGGGCTCTCTCGAAATGTTTTTTTAATGATATTATTCGAGAGAGCCTTAAACGGCTCCCATACCCCTGCACGGAGAGGCATGTAAACAAAACTCAAAAGTGGTCCAAAATCACACTTTCGCGCACCCGACCAATATTGGACAGTGGCTTTGATAAATTTTGTCCGAGTTTTGGTCTTAATTAGCGCTTTAATTTCAAAATCGGATCTAAAAATAACAAAATAAGAGCAATTTTCTTACCAGACCGATACAGCTCAGCTCCCTTTTCACGTGTACCGTGTGAATTCACGATGTCTACACAATGGTGATGACCTCTGACTGGCACTTCCGTAATTGTGGGTAAATTGTGCTGCTTCCGTATAATGCGCTGTATGAGTGTTATTCAGCGCATTATACGGAAGCAGCACATTTACGAAGTGCTAGTCAGAGGTCATCACCATTGTGTAGACATCGTGAATTCACACGGTACACGTGAAAAGGGAGCTGAGCTGTATCGGTCTGGTAAGAAAATTGCTCTTATTTTGTTATTTTTAGATCCGATTTTGAAATTAAAGCGCTAATTAAGACCAAAACTCGGACAAAATTTATCAAAGCCACTGTCCAATATTGGTCGGGTGCGCGAAAGTGTGATTTTGGACCACTTTTGAGTTTTGTTTACATGCCTCTCCGTGCAGGGGTATGGGAGCCGTTTAAGGCTCTCTCGAATAATATCATTAAAAAACATTTCGAGAGAGCCCTTAAGGCTAACGTAGACAGTCATATTTATCCCATGAACTACAAAGAATGTCTCTGATCTTCTTAAGCATAAACCGTTTCACGAAGAGCTACTTTTATAGCTATTTAAAAGAATAAGGAATGAATAAGAGTGAAAGTAGTCTAGATTACCACTTACTACAAGGAAATAAGACATGTGATATAGATCTAGTCTACTTCAAAAGTTTTGTAGAATAAACCACATAATTTTTTGTAAAATACAATACACCAGTTTACTGTTACAACAGTGCGCATGCGCAGACATGGGCGCCGTTTTAACTTACGAGTAAACAAACCACTGACCTCTAGAGGTCATGGTTTACGGTGTGTGTAAATTAAGATGGCGCCCATGCAAATATGATGTGAGCGCACAGCGCAGGCAGTGACGCAACAATACATGGGCAAAACTTCAAAACTTCAACATTCCAAACGTTTAAACACATGTTTTAAACTATTAAGTTTTGACACTTGAAGATAGAATTTATCTCAAAATTAATGTAGGTAATTAGGTTTGAAAACTAGAGAATACACTTCTAACTATGGCTTGCCTGCTGTGGCAGATTACCCATCCCTTCGAGAAATTTACAATGTAGAAATAAACACATTTACAATCAGTTTAGGTAAGTGGGAAAGGCCTTATATAAACATGGCGTATTTTCAAAATATTTTCAAAATATTTTTAAATATAAAAAAAAAAAAAACTCCCTATTTAAGTGGACGTGAGAAAAATCATAGCAGGAGGATTTCTTGTCCTTTTTTGCCAGCCATAGTCTACCCAATAAATGACATGTGGTATGTCCTCACCCACTGGGTACCTTTAATTGCATCAGCATTGCATGTTTTCATATAATAGCCCATTGAAACCCTTCTTTTCATGGTGTTGCTTTGGGATTTCTGACATAGCAACTGCTTAAAATGTAATTGAATTTTGTGAGTGGGCATTGTATAAAAAGATGCAATGCTATTGTGAACAGATGGTCAGTTGATTGGAAGGGACATACCAATGTCTATTGTTCATCTAGCTGACTGATGAATGACTGGCATGATGATGTCACAAAAGTCATTTGCCTTTGGAGGGGTTTTCTCAGGGATGGAGCTTAGCAGGTAGAACAAAATAAAATATTATAGTATTAATGACTGCTTTGAGAGAAATAGTTGTCTTTATACGCTCAAGGGAAGGTTAGAATTGTGCTATTGCCCGAGGCGTGCCGAGGGGCAATAGCCCAATTGTAACACGATGAGCGTATAAAAACAACTATTTCTCGAATATTAAAGCAGTCATTAATACTTTTATATGCCTAAAACAAAAGGGTCAACTTATGACACTACCTTGGCCTTTCTCTAGTTAATCTGCACGGTTGTTTTTTATGAGTGTATCTTTGAGAGTAGACTAGATCTAGATTCTAGTCTAAGCAAGATATTTTTACAATTTTGGGGGTGGGCCGGCCCTGTGGGGAATATGTAGAAGAACCTGCGCTTTCATATGACACCTCACTTGTTGAGTATCACCTTCAGAATCACGAGCAATATTAGTTTGCAATGCCAATGCATATTGCAATGCAATGCCAGCGCGCAATGCCAATACATAGGGATGTGTGTAATCTGAATTCCATGCAATCTCTACGGGAAGGATTTTAGAGCTACTAGACCTACTTACAGGCGCGTAGCCAGGGGGGGCGGTGGGGGCAGTTGCCCCCCCCCCCCAAAAAAAAAACGTCGGCCAAAAAAAAAAGAGAGAGAAGAGAAGAAAAAAAGTAAGAGGACGTAGGAAGAAAAAGGGAAAGGAGTCGAGAACGGTACAACGAATCGTCTTCTTTCTCTAATAATTTAATAAAACGTCAAAGCTTCCGCGCACCGCGCGGAACAGGGGAAATTGAGTTCAAATTAAGGATTATGAGTCGAGAATTAATGGAACAAAGAATCGTCTTCTTTCTCTAATAATTTAATGAAACGTCAAAGCTTCCACGCTTCGAAAGAGGGGGACTGAATACAGATAATGTCATGTATGTCCTATCTGTGAAATTTAAATGTTAACAGTGTCCTCATATTCAAATTATGCAAGGAAACCCGTTTACTTGCTAGACTTCACTGTCAGACACTATTGAGTGACTGACTGGCTTTTTTTCTTCTTTGGTAATAACATACATGAAAAGAGTTGTAAAGGGTACATGAGCATTTGTCTACATGAATAACCCACTTCTTCTGATGGCCAAGATTAAACTGATTGAATCTTTGCGCAGCATAAAACGTATGACCATTCGGTACAATTGTCTGAAAATCAAGACTATTACTTTTGGGCTCTATAGCCCTAAAGTCGATTTGATAACTAATAGTCATTATTTTCCCACTTGAAGACATTTTCAAGCCCCAATTTTTTTAGGGAAGTTCTAAATTAGTATTATCTTTCAAATGCAGTTGGAATTTAACTTTTTCATTTTTTGGCCTGCAAATGGGACATAGTACCTTTAATAGGATCCTTGTTTTACAAAACTATCATAGGCTTTTTCTAAATATTCTTCTTTCATGTCACATAAGCTGTTAAGTGAAACGTTTGTATACACTGCTGATGATATTATAAATTACTTTGTATATTCATAGTATTTCTGTATAAACACATATTCAAATTCTTTGACTGTCTTGTGAAAAAGGAAATAATAAACAAATAAATTAATTCATTTTAAGTTTTAAAATTAGTGACTTTCTTATTTGTATTATTTACCTCAAGCTTTTATTTGATTGGTTTGGTTTTTCTTTGTTTATTCAAATCAAAGATATGTGGATGAATTCACTCTTTAAATGCTAGATTTGCATGATTGTATCCATCTTCAAAATTTTATTTTAGATTGAAAATTACCTTGATGATAATTTTGTATCCAGAGAAGAGAACGGGTCAATTACTTGACAAACTGCTGAAGATAGACAAGAAGTTTATTGAGATATATATACGTATGGTATTACAATGACAGTGATATAGAGAGAAAGAAACAACAATTATGATAATGTGGTAATGATAATGATGGTTTAAATAATGATAATGCTGATAACAATATGGGAAGAAATGTAATTGAATTGAAAATTGTGTTCTATTATTTCGGTTATTTCAATTATTCTAAACAGATTTTGAAAAAAAGGAATTTTGAAAGAAGCAAATGAATGTGATTAATGTAGAGATTTATAGTTAAGTGGTTTGACTAGAGATGGAAAGGTTGTGTGTTCAATCCATGGAACAGAACCTACATGTACAGTTATATTTTTAGCAAGACATTTTATCAACTTTTCCTCTACTCACTGAGGTGTATAAATTGGTACATGGTAGGATGCAACTTTCATTTGCTAGGCTAGCACTGTGTGTACCTCTTAAAATATGGCCTGATGGAACTAGGTCTCCATAAAGTTTAGCTTGGATTCTACAGATTGTACATGCAGATTTGCAAAATTTACATCTGACCTCTCTGACAATGGATATCATATATTATGTACTGTCAAACACTTTCATTATTTACTTCTAATGGGAAAAGTGACCATGTGGCAATAGACAGTAATTTTTTTAGTTGTTGTTATTGACTAAGAGAGAAAATGCAAGAAAGGTTGAACCTCAAATCACTCAATGTACATGTACATGTTCATATTGTCAATGTTTTACATGTGTACATGTAGATCAAATATATATGCATGTAGCCATGTACTTATTCTTGATTTTATATTTTAGGTAATGTGCAAACGTTTGAAGTATTTCAAAAGTTTTCAATCAATTTTGTTTTATTAAGTTATACCTCCTCCTTCCCTGAAGTTCAGACCTGTCCCTTTATTAAAACCAGTTCTTTATTTTGTTTATGTAATTCTACCTTTCCTCATCTCCCACCCCCTTCCCTCTCCCTCCTTTCACTCCCCCTCCATCCCCTTCCCTCTCCCCCTCTCCCTCCCCTTCCTCCCCTTCCTCCCCTTCCTCCCCTCCCTCCCCTCCCTCCCCTCCCTCCCCTCCCTCCCCCTCCCCTCCCTCCCCTCCCTCCCCCTCCCCTCCCTCCCCTCCCTCCGCTCCCTCCCCCTACCCTCCCTCCCCTCCCTCCCTCTCTCCCTTATCCCTCCCCTCTTCCCACCCCTTATTCCTCCCCGCCCTTCCCCCTTTTTCTCCCCTCTTCCCTCTCTCCTTCTCTAATCTTCTCCCAGATTTGTCCCCTTCTCCCCTCGAATCATCACCTCCTTCATTCTTCTCTTCCCCTCTTCCTTCTCTTCCCCCTATCTACCCCCTCTCTACTCTGTCCCACCCCACAAGCATGCTGAGAAGTTTTAGTGGATCATTTCCTGTTTCAATAACTGCATTTATCTCTTCTGGTTGTTTTGTTAACAGGACGCTTCATCATGCAACAACCACCCCCTCCCCCACAGCAGAGGAAGAGGAAGGCTGGGTAAGTTACATCACAGTTTCCAGTATAAACTTGTTCAGATTTTTAGATGATAACAGATTATAAAGACATTTAAAATGAGAATTGACGCAAAATTATAAACTTTGTTGACAACATAATGACGTAACAATATTTCCGCCCTTAGACATTTAGACATACATGTAGCCATTTACTTATAATGTACATGTACTTACATGTAGATTAATAGATATCAAGCTTTGTATACTTGAAAAGAGTAACCTTCTTTAATATACATCTTATAATTTGTAGTGATGCACAGTTACTGTTTGTTTGTTTGTCTGTTTGTTTGTTTGTTTTTTGTTTTTAAAGGAATAGGGATACACATTAATACAATTTAATGACTTTCCCCAGATCCTCAGTGTTCAATTGAATCATTGGTAAAGGGTTTTCAGTATTCAACTAAATTGCCTAAAGAATTCCAAGCTTGTTAGCATTTACTGAGCTCCATAATTGTCTTGTCTTTAAAAATGTGGGAGTATTCATTATTTTGGTCCCTTAACTTGCATCATGTCGGTTATATTTCAAGACGTAGAGATTTATATCTTATTGTAAATTATCATCAAACATGAATTAAACAATGATCAAGCATGCTACACAATGTATGTAACATACAATGATAACATTTTAAATAAATTTAGTACATAACATTGTGAATCAAAAGTGGGGAGGAAAAGCAGGTAGAAATAAGAAAAGAAGTAAATGTACATCAATAGATACACACATGTACATGTACATGTATAGACTAATGTATTGGCTTACCGGTACATGTAATTAATTTAAAAACTACATGTACATGTATTATATGGCCCTCTGTAGTACAAGCAGAGCTCTGGGTTAATATAAAGACATCATGCAGTCACTGATTGTACCTGTCCTGTCCATTTCTTATCCTCTAATCAACCTCATTATCCCCTTTAATTGACATTACACTTGCTTTACTGTATTAAGCCAATTAATGGGAGCGTGTGGAGCATTATGACTCAATAATCCATGTCTAATAGGGTTAAGCTAGACCTCAAGCAGGTGATTACAAACTCCTAACCACAAATGGGTAAACTAAGACTTTAAATGTGTACATACAAATATGGGTGTACATGTACGCCATCAGGTCTAGGAGATGTGAAAACGAGTGTACAGTGTATTGGAAGTGAAATTGAATACACCGTAGTAGTAGTAAATAAAGAAGTAGTAGTACTCGTGGTCGTGGTTGTGGTTGTGGTTGTGGTAGTGGTTGTGGTAGTGGTAGTGGTAGTGGTAGTGGTTGGTAGTGGTTGGTAGTGGTTGGTAGTGGTGGTGGTGACAGGCCTAAGAAATTAGAATTATTTCACCCTATATTTATCATGAGTTATATATGTACTGGTGGTGTAATCAATTGGGTATTTAGTACTTCAGTACTTACAGTTTACATGTACATGTACATGTATATACAATATATACAACATGTATGCATGTAGATGTAGGCCTATATTTACATGTAACTGAGCATATATTCTTTACATTTCAAAATATATGTTGGAAGGTAAAAATTATTTCAGGAGAAAGAAAGAGAAAAAAAGGGAGAGATAAAAGAATTGGTTGGTGTATGGTCATCAGACACAACATTACTAACACACAAACAAGTGAAACAGAGATAGAGAAAGAAACAATGAGAGATACACTGAGATAGAGAGAGAGAAAGAGAGAGAGAGAGAGAGAGAGAGAGAGAGAGAGAGAGAGAGAGAAAGGGAAATCAAGGGTTATTACTATTATTGTATCCATATTTCAATTACTACCATCTCAGTTTCTGACATATTGCATCATTGTTTGAAAGGCCTCTCTCTTTCCTTGATAATCATCGCCCCCTATTCACTTCCATCCTCCTCTATTCGCTTCCAGATGTGGCTTTTCTTTGGCTGTGACCTCTCAGTGCTATTCCTTATTCATAAATTTTATATAGGTTTGCAGTCAATTCATTATCATAAATCCAAATTGTCCAATCAGTTATGGCACATTGATCACACACGTGTGTCTACTTTGCCAGCTTCATGTAAGTCTGTATAGAGCTCTGTCTCTTCATGTAGATGTACTTGGAAAGGGTTTGTTTACATTTGGACAATTTTCATATCTCAATATCATTATCTGAATCAGAATTATACATTTATGTCTAAATGTTCTTTATCATTATTTTCATCATCATGAATTCTAGAAAATTGGTGATGCTGATGGTTACGACAATTTCAATGATATACAAAAATCATTATCTTGCAACAAATACTGCATGTAAAATCATGAAAATTATATTTAGGAATAAACACTCAAAAAGACTTACCGGTATGCCTACATTTTGTAATTGGAGTACATGTATACTAGGTAATCCCATATTTTCCATTATCACAACCTTTTTAATATGAATACTATTCCCATTTTTACTCAAATTACACTGCAACAGGCATTAGTGTATATGGTAAATGTAGATTTGAAGTAAATTAATACAACCATGTGAAACAAAGCCTGAGAATAGTTTGAGATGAAACCTCAGCCTATTGGAAATCTATTTTTTAAAGAAAATCCTATATAACCTATGGGTTCAAAACATGGAGATCATGACAACCATCATTAAATCTTGTTTAGATATGAAGGGGTAAACCTCTGCGATTTTTATGACAAAAAGTGTAATACACTTCACATTTCTGCATGTTATAACACATAACTGAATCAATACTGGAAGGACCTTTGATGTATGCAAGTGCCATTTATTTACACTTTTAATAAAAAAAACTGTAGCGGTTCACCGCCTAATTTATCTGAACGAGCCATTATTTTTTAGTCACACTGCAAAATAGACTCTAAACATAACTTGGCCTCTCTGGGTAATGTGATTTCTTTGTGTTGGTTAGGTGTCCAGTCTAAATGGATGTGAATGGGGGTATTATGCATAACATGAGAGCAAAACAAAGCTCCCTCAGGCTCAGACAGCAAGGACTCTATTGATTTCATCACCTGTAACTGATGCTTAATCCCTTCAAATGTATTCTTTCGGTTTTCATCTCCTTTATTTTAATCCATCCTTCCCTTTATGATCGTTCCATTGTCAGACCATGCTGTCAGACTATGAACCTAACATGGTCAGACCAATTAAAGTCTGGATGAATACCGTGTCTCTTGTAGGTCCATGAAGTATCATAGTGGGTAAAATTGACAAGTCATTATAATAACGCAATGAAATAAAGCTAAATACAGATAAGTAGACATATCTATTTTAAATCTAAATAATTTGCTTTCGAGAGTAATATATACAGCCATGGCATATTACATGTAACTTGTACATATCCTCATATATTTGTTTACTTTGTCTATGGTGTATGGTGTTTAGTTAAACATTACACTAAAACCTGTTGTAATATTTTAGAAAAGGATGTAGTGTGAACACACCACTCCTGCTTCTATTCGCCCTCTTTCTCTCTCTCTCTCTTTCTCTCTCTCTCTCACTGCCTTCCTTTTCTACGTGCCTTCCTTCCCTCCATTAACCCCATCTCCATTGCATGTAGCATTATAAAGGGAAGCTCCCCCAGCCAGCCTGCCTGTCTTACTGCCTGCAATGCTGCTAGCTGCGAAGGGGGGCAAACAAAGGCCGAACGTGCTGGTTGTATGCGCAGGCACGTAGCGATGAGCTCAGAGCTGTGCTCGGCTCATGGAGCCAGCACTCATGACATGAATAGAAATCAACTTTAAAGGGCTAATCCACCTTAAAGGTCATCTATTCATATACTTACCTAAAAATACATTCAGAGAAACATTTATCTCACTTTGTTAATCCCTTGAACAATAAAAGTCTGCGAAAAGCAGCCTTGAGTTTTTGTTTCTTTCTTTCCTGAAGGATATACATGTAGATTTATTCATCAAAACAAATTGAAAAAATTAAACATTAAATATAATTCACTTATTCATAAATGTACCTAAACTGCTAAGATATATTCAGGTAACAATATATTTATGGAAACGTTTATCTTGATTTGCTCATCATCAGATTGTCTGTAACACAAGAAGCAATCAGTGGTTTAATAGTCTTTCTTGAAAAGGAGAGGCTAAATGGAAAGTCCGGTATTTGAAAGACGTGAAATATTAGAACATAACGTTTTTGATTAACCTATACATTGGGTCCATACATTTAATAATCTTTGTATTTTCAGTCATGACCCTACCACTTCAAAAGGTTTAGGTGATATGTGAGTCTTTTTTGTTTTACTGGTATGGTTCATTGGGTAGATTCAGACATGTCATTCATACATACTCTATCTATGTGCATCTAATTGTTATTCAAATGTACGGTTGTAGAATACATACCTTCATTTAACTATTTTTTTACGTTTAGAATTAATTAAATCAAAAATAAATTTCAAGGTGATCTTGATAAATATACGCCTATGCACTCATTCATTTAACATCAAGGTTGTTCGGATATGATGCGGTAAATCGGCGGAAACAAAATACGCCATGCTTTCTACATGTGTAAATGAATAGCAAATGCACACAACAAAAGTCCTGCACTTTTTCTCTTGGCTCTGCTATATAAGCTACAAAAATGTGAAGAATATCACATTTTACATCTTAAAAAATGCCACGGTTTTGCCGCCTCATATCTGAATAAGGCTTAACATTTGACGTGAATGGTAACATTATAAAACCATAATACAAAATGGTTCAAGGAGTGCAATTTATGACAGATCAACACTAATGATCTAATCTTGAGCTAGCAGTCACAGAATCAGCCTCATTGAGAAAAAATAGGTGTTTTTGGAGACTTTGTTAGCCACAGTTCTGGCAAAGTTTAAATCTTTAAATGTGTATCATAGCTGTCTAATTAATGCATTAAAAATAGAAATATCGTTTAAAGAATGGAGTATGATACCCATAATGCATGCGAAGACCTACAAGGTTTTCAGATAATCGTATTTCCATGTTAATGATTTGAAAAAAAGACATAATTGATGATCTACATCTACATGCAGTTCATGCACTTTGTTGGGCTTGTTGGCATATAAGTTGCTTTGATATTTCTCTATACATGTACTTTTTACTTCCTTCAATCCATCTCTCTCTTTCTCTTTTTTTATCTGCTTCTCTTTGTTTGGCTGTCACCGTTCTTTACCTCTTCTCACCGCTCCTTTCACATGTATTCTTGTTTTGCTTCTCTCCACCCAGGAGTGATGATGGTGATGGAGAGGATGATGATTCTACCTCAGCCAAGCTCTCAAGGTGAGTATACCTGCCAGGAGTGCCACATGGACCCGGTCCAGGGCCCCGTCTTACAAAGACTTAGATCGACTTTAAGTTAGACTTAAGTATGGCAGGCCATTCATGCCACTGTTTTCTCTCACCGTTTACTGGCACTGGTCTCTCACGGGACGTACAAATCATGGTCATAAATCTACAGAATTTATATTTTTTGATAATTCATTATTGAAGGAAAAAATAGTGTCTAAAGATCATAATGGTGAGAAAAAACAATGGCATGAACGGCCTGCCATATTAAAGTCCAACTTAAAGTCGATCTTAGTCTTTGTGAAACACCCACCAGATGTGGCAACCTCAATTTTGATGCAGGGATTGATACTAACATGGTTGTGGTGCACATGATATGGGGCTCAGAAATTTAACTCCATACCCTTAGTTTTTTTAATTAACCAGGGGGCCCATGCATACAGACCTTACAAATTTCAATCTGTACTGTATGTGGAGCCCTTCATTGGGTATACATCTAGGTGGTGTCACACTGGCTGAAAGTTCCTTCATTATTTCCAGAGGTTTTTTTCATTGGTTGACAAATATTCAACAAAGTTTATTTCTACAGAGACTTTGAAGTGATTGGATGGAAGAGGGTTACTTCTCAGCTAACGAAGTGTACAACTTCATGATTTGAAGTCATCTTTATACATGTATGTTTTTTTTCTAATGAAGTTTGTTTTCTGCTGCCAACAAAAGACTTACATATTAAATTTTGCATGACAGCCACCCCTTTTCAAAAAGTGGAAAATCTGGTAAGAACTGGCATAATTCCTGAGTGTACAAATTATTTTAAAAAATGAGCATGAACTTTAAAGCTATGGAATTTTGATGGATATACGTATTAAAACTAATAAATTTGAATTAATTTTTTTTTTTTAAATCGAATTATTGATGCCATATGTAGTGCATTTGTTATGAGTAGGGCAAGAGGACTATTGCACAAGAATACAGTTAGAAATGAAATACAGTTCCAAATTGTCTGTAAGGAATAAGACTCAATTATTTTTAACTCCTCTTTTTCATATTGTTAGGACGGACGATGACAAACCTGACAAGGGACACTTTGCTCGGTAAGAGTGAAAAAAGATTGGCTTGATTTCAATCCCAAACTTTCAAACTCTTCATCTAGTTCTGATGTTCTTTACAGTTTGCCTTTCGTACAAACTGAATTAAGGGAGGATTTTTAAAAGCTGACAAATCTCATAATTTAGTTTCATACAAAAGCATTAGAACACAAGATTAAACATCTAATTTGTAAGGTGTATAGTTTTTTTATGATAAATTATGAAACAATTTAGAAGTACAAATGTGAATCTTTCAAGGAAAAAGAGGCATGTAGAGAGTCGATTGTCCTTTTAAATTTGTGTTAAAGAACTAGGCTAGGCGATTAAAGTGAAATCTTAATTGTGAAACCATTCAACAAATAGGGGACAGGTACAGGGTCAAATGATGGCTGTTTGATCTTGAGAAAGATATTAGGAATGATTTTGTAAACATTATTTCTGTGAGATGTACTTTTTCAAATGCCAGTTTTTACCAGATTTTTATGCTTCAAAAATTCAGTCTCTCTGATCATGTATAAAAGAAGAAATTTCCATTTGATCATTCCTGAGATTTTATTGTGGCTGCAGATGTATTGATATCTTTCATCTTTTGTTAAATAATGAAGATGAAATTAAATTCCATCGACTTTTGTTTCTTCTCTTGACAGAGAAAATCATAGTGAGATTGAGCGACGGAGAAGGAATAAGATGACGGCTTATATCACTGAGCTGTCGGACATGGTGCCGTCGTGTAGCGCTCTCGCTCGCAAGCCAGATAAACTGACCATTCTCCGCATGGCTGTTTCTCACATGAAGTCTCTCAGAGGTACTGTATAACTCATAAGCCTTACCGCATACATGTATCCAATACCAAATCCCTTTCATGTCACATTGTACTTTTTATATTTATATTTTATTTAAAGGATGTTGGGAATTTTCTTTCTTCCTTTCATTTTTTGTTTAATTTGAGCAAAAATGCATAAGATATAATTCTTGCAACTCTTGACACAACTTACTGTTGGCTTGAGAAAGTTGTATGGTTTTCTCCAACCATTGTATTCATTGGTAAAGATGTACTGAGACTGATTTAAAGACAAATGATATATTTGAAAACTTTAAAAATCAAATTTTCTTTGTGATGTTGACAACTTTTTTTTCTTCTTTCTATTGCATTGCATTTTTCTAACAAAATGATAATGATCAAAATTAAAGATGTATGTATAAACTATGGTGATTATGATGATGATAATAATAATCATTAGCATAGCTACAGGGACAAGGGGGGGGGTACCTATCCGTGTAGAAAATTATTATTTCGTAATTTGTGATCTAATGTCAATTATACATATTTTACTTATAGATATACACTTACATGATTTGTACTTCTTTGATAAAAACCTGCCTTCCTGCCCCCCCCCCCCCGCCAAAATTTGGAAAAATTTAGAGGAGGAGAAAAGAGAGGTAAAAAAAAGGGGGGGGGGAGGAAAGAACTTGCCAGCTCTTTAACACATCCATTGTCTGTGCACGTACGTAGAGTAGAGCAGTCTCTACTATGATCTGTTTTTTGCCCTTTGACATCAATGATACACAAACTGTTTGGGGAATACCACTCAGAGAATGCCAGTGGTCGGGATGTCGTTCCGGTTTTGGTTTTGGATGACAGACATGTAAATCTTGAAAGTCCCTCAAAGAACCGGGTTTCTTTGAAATCAGTGCTGTCTATAATTAGAACAAATGCAGGTTTTAGGGGATATTTTTGCTTTTTACTCTTATATAAATAAAAATAGGAAATAAAATCTCATGGATAGACATGTGATTGTATAAGGAAGAATATAAATGTCATTGTAAAATGTTGGAAGAAAGGAAAATTATTTTTTTTTAAATATAGTGTAAGTACTAAGTACTGTCTTTGTTAACAAAATCATGATCCACTTTCCAAAGTTGATTTCTTCAAATGACTAAAATGCTTGAAATCCAAGACTATTACTATTACCATTCCATCAATAATATTTCAGAAAATATGTACATGATGTGTAGGTGAGAAATATAGGACTGTACAATTAAAGTACACCAACAAAACATTGATATATCCAGAGATAATATGATAAAAATGCTCAGATTACAGTAAAATGGAGTGTCTTACCAAAATTTGTCATTACATATATACCATGGGAACAAACTTACATTTTCTGATTTTGTAGAGCATTACTTATCATAGCATTCCCTAATATTGATTATGGCTTTCTCACTCCTTCCTGAAGCACATTAAAACCTATTCAAAACAAGTATGTAAAATTTCAAGTCATTTGTGGCAATATTGTAAAAAGAAAAACAATAACTGCTGAATGACTAATTTGTAGTAAACAATGTTTCTTTTCATGACTCAATACATTTATCAGGCCTGTAACTTGATAAAACAAAACAATTTCTCATGCCAAAAATGATAACTTGATAGGCTCATGCTTCGTATTGAGATGTTACCACATAGTAGGGTGTTACATAATGTATTGTCTGCTGTTGTAACCCCACAAGGTCAATTTGTCTGGTGAGAGCTAGGATGGCGGTGACTAGTGTAGCATTGAGAAAGTATTGTTAGCATACACTAATACCTCCTATTACATAGATTTGATGACCTGCTTCATCTCAACAAATGATATACCGTTAACAACTCAATTATTCATAACCCTTGTAAATATGATGGTATTTCTTTTTCTTTTTTGTAACTGAAAAATTAAAGGTGAAATCCTTGAATTAAGACCTATGTTGAATACTTTTAATGTAAACTTTAATATGTCACAGTCTCAATATCAATTTTTCACTCACTCAGAAAATTACAAAACTTGGTAAGGGTATGAAAAATTTAGTTGTTAATTGAACATAGAGGTTGTATCTTTAATCATCTAGCAAAAGAGCCTTTTATATTATCACAAGGTACATATTATATTGTAAGTTTGTAATCATCCATTTAGCCCATCACAGAAAAGAACTATCATCCTCAGATGCTAAATACTTTGAATTACACAAAATGTATGGGCATTTGTAAAATTACTCTCTGGATGTGAACACTATAGAGTGTACCCACATCCATCCCTATCACTAACCCCAAACAATATCTAAACCATAATTATAACCCTATCCATTATTCTAACCCTATCCATTATTCTAACCCTAGCCATTCCCTCTAACTCCATACCTGTGTCAAGTTACAGTCTGAGGAAAATTTTGCCAGAGTCAATGTTAGATCATCTTATTGTATGTTAAATAATAGTCGTATATCAAATACCATAGATGAATATGTTTATGTAATTCTAGTTTCCACAAACCATGTCACATGATAGAGAGATAATGTTTTATTTGTTTTATTTCTTTAATGCAGGTACCGGGAACACCAGCACAGAAGGTACATATAAACCATCCTTCTTGACAGATCAAGAGCTTAAGCATCTTATTCTAGAGGTAAGTCAATAGTCCAGTGTGTCTGGAGGTCATGGGTTCAAAGCCCTGGATGAAAACACAAAAATACACCCATATTTATTCAATCTTTGTTATCATTTATTATTAATGATTTGGTGTGATCTGTGCCTGTGAGGGGAATTTTTTAATCAGTATTACCCTCGGGTCTCTCCTCCCGATGTAAGCTAGTGGTCGTGATGTGTAATTGGACCACTACACCTTGTTTTTCCCTACACTGTTACATAGAATGCAGTTGGTTCTTTAAATGTGCAAAGGGGGCGGCTGTCCTCAAGGGGAGGGGGGGGGCTTCATTAAACATCCTTTCCAAAGGGCAGAAAGGATGAATGTTACATTTTAGGATTGATCCAAAGGATATGCCTACTGAAAATATGTTACCTGCATGTACATTATCCAGATAAAATCATGTACTTTTATTTTGTGTGCAGAACTTGTACATTTAATAAGAAGTCTATTGTGAGAAAATACTGTTCCCCATCTATAATTTCTGTGATAGGTACAGTGGCATGGACAATCATAATTTTTCTGAATGAATAAATCCACAGGCATTTTTTATTCTTCTTCAAAAAATCTGTAGAGATTTCTAGAATAAGTTAAAAGCTCTTTAATGTTTAAGCACCATTTACATTTTAATAACTTGAGAATATGCAGTTTACATGACTCTAGAGAAGGGGGAGGAGAAAGAGAAGCCAATCAAAAGACAGGATGGATATATTGCCTATCAAATGATGGAAACATGTTTATGTCTTTTTTTCTTTTCGTAAGGCTGCTGATGGATTCCTCTTTGTAACGTCATGTGAGAGTGGGAGGATCATTTACGTCTCAGACTCCGTCACGCCAGTCCTTAATCAACCTCAGGTAAAGCGTTTATGTCCATGAAAACGTCAAACAAACTTAAAAGATGAACGTGGCCATCGTTGCTTCATGATTAGAAAAAAATATGGCTTTTTTGAGAAGAAAAGAAAGGAATTTGAATTAGAATAATTAAATATGAATGTACATACAGAAAATGTATTGAGCAACCCCTCTTCCCTTCACTTATACTTTGTTTCTGTCATTCCAAAAGAATTTTTCCAATTTATTTTGTCTCGTCATGTTCCCTGTCTACCCATCTCCATTTCCTTGTCATACTCCCTGTCCCTCTTTTTTCTTCTCATCCTCTTTTACTCTCTCTCTCTCTCTTTCTCTTTCTCTTTCTCTTTCTCTTTCTCTCTCTCTCTAAATATATCGTCCCTATTTTCACGAAGTGACGGTAGTGAATGAAAATCGCATACAATTTGCGTGCAGATTTTCCTCACTACCGTCACTTCGTGAAAATAGGAGCGATATGTTTAAATATCCCCCCTCTCTCTCTCTCTCTCTCTCTCTAAATGTATGTTTAAATATCCCTCTCTCTCTCTCTCTCTCTCTATCTCTCTCTATCTCTCTCTCTCTATCTCTCTCTCTCTCTCCCTCCCTTCCTTCCTCCCCCTTTCTCTCTCTCTCTCCCTTTTACCTTGTAGGAATAATCCCGATGGCAGCTTATCATACAGCTAAACTGGGATGTCAGTGCAATACACCCTCTCTCTCTCTCTCTCTCTCTCTCTCTCTCTGTTTAGGTCCTTTTCTTTCTCTTTATATCACTCACCCTTGTTTCTTTATCTCCATATCTAGTCGTGACCTTGTAAACATCCACACTTTTATTCCTATTTCTATTTAAGTCTTACTTGTGCATCAGTAGAGGTGTCCTGGTCGAGTGGATATGTCCCCGGACTGTCGATCACAAGGTCCGCGGTTTGAGTCCCGCCGCGACACTAATTTCCTTTGGCAAGACATTGATCTACATTTGCCACACTCAACCCTGGTGATGTAAATGGGTACCTGGCAGTAATTAATTCCTTGTAATGCTAGAGCGCCGTAATGGCAGCCATGCTAAAGCCCGGTTAATAATTGGGAGCGCCAGGAGTGTCAAGTCAGACAGACATGAGCGCTATACAAGAACCCATTGATATTATTATTATTAAATGTCTCATCTTTCTCTCTCTGACCCAACACAGAATGATTGGATAGGTGGGTCCGTCTATGACCTTGTTCATACTGATGATGCAGACAAGATTCGTGAGCAGCTCTCCACCTCAGAACCACATAACAGTGGGCGGATCCTAGACCTTAAGAGTGAGTCTGATTGGTCAATAAATCATTTCCTCCGACAGGATGATGACCTGATTGGTCAAACGGTCATTTCCCCGAACAAGATGTTGACCCAGTCAGAAGCAACACTTATTTAGAAAATGGAAGTTATGTAAACAAAAATACAGCTGCCTACACATTAAGGCAATTGCAAGACATGCTTTTGACGTGTTTCACCATCAATCAGCCTGGAGACCTAAAATCCTTTTCCTACCTATGACCCCACAATACCTCTATCAAGGAATGATGCATGGAGCACATGTTGACAAAGCAGTTGTCATAGAAAAATTTAATTCTTCTTAAATTATCTTTGCTCTTTTGAGAAATAACAAAAAGTCACACATTATGAAAATGAATCCCCATTAATGCTCCCGAATTTGCAGAAAAATCATTATCATTCATGTTTTCCTTTTGCTTCATTATCTAAGTATATGATAGCTTTGGTTTATTCAATTTAATCTCATATGGTACCAAAAGCTTTATAGTTTTTGACATATTTTTGATCTATGTTTATCTGCAGCTGGGACAGTGAAGAAAGAAGGTCATCAGTGTAAGTATTCAAAATTATTTTTCTTCTTCATCGTATTTATGGGATAGTAAAGGGATTTGGTATCTTTGCCTCAGGTTCTAAACAAAATCCTGGATTTAGGTCATGCTGCAATCATAGTTATTAACCTTTAGGTCAGTCAGGAATTCCATGACTTTTACAAGCCGATCGCCTGTCTGATTATCAAGATATTTATGATTGGAATTAGAAATGTCAAAAACTGTTTGCCATACGGTTTGAAACAACATTACCGTATATTGGGGAAAATGAGTATGGTAAAACCGGTCACTCAGAGATTTGTTTACTCTTTTTGAATCACTTCATGATGATTGTTAAACAATGCCTTTAAATGCAATTACAACTTTCAAATTATCGTATATTTGGGATATAAGATGCATTTACAACCTTCATATTGTCCATGATCTTCTGAAACAATTATTTGTGTTATTCAAGTAAAAACATGTACTTGGCAATCCAATAGTGATGAAAATGCTTTTGGTTTGATAAAGAGATATAAGAATCAGTTAAGGCGAATTTAAGAGCCCCGGTTCTGAGTTCATGAAAGACATTCTCCACAATACTAGTCCATTTGTTTCTATGATTTTACTTCTGACTTGTTTTATAAGAATTGGATTATACTTGAAGTTAGTCTGATTGTAAACTTGTATTTTATCCTTGATAATGATTGTTGTGCAGCTTCAATGAGGTTCTGCATGGGCTCAAGGCGAGGGTTCATCTGCCGCATGAAGTACGGAAACGCTCAAGTGGATCCCATGACGATGAGCCGCTTCTGCCATCTGAGGAACAGGAGTAGTCTAGGATCTCCAAAAGATACAGAGCAGTATGCCGTGGTCCACTGTACAGGCTACATCAAGAACTGGCCACCATCAGCAGGTATGCAATTATGTACTGTTTTGAATGCACTCGTAGCATACAATCATGTAACCAAATTTAGAATGCAGTTAGAATACAGGAATGTAATCATGGAGAGTACAGAATGTAGCTAGGATACAGGGTAGTATACCCTGGTCCACTGTACAGGTTACATCAAGAATTATCCACCCTCAGCAGGTTTGGTATAATGTCAAGTTCAGAATGTAGCTAGGATGCAGGAATGCAATCATGCAGTGTTTCACATGTAGTTTAAAAACAGGAATGCAATCATGTCTGATTTTACATGGAGAGTTCAGAATGTAGCTAGGATACAGGGTAGTATGCTACATGGTCCACTATAAAGGCTACACCTTACAAGGTATGCAATCATGTAGATTTTCAGAATGTAGTTCGCATATAGGAATAAAATCACATAGCATTAGAAATACAGTTAGAATACATGTATATGAAATCATGTTAACAGTTATGTAATCATGTAGATTTTAGAATGTAGCTAGAATACATGAATGCAGAAATTAGAATGCAAAACAAGTTTACAGGCACATGGTGTGATCATTTAGATTTAAGCACATACTCGAATTCAGGAATGTGATCACAAAATGCAATCATACAGAGTTAAGAATGTGTCTTGAATGTAGGTATGCAATGATGTAATGCAGTCATTTAGTATTTAAAAGAATGTAAGTAGAGTACAGGTACATGTTTGCAATCATGTAATGTAATCAAATATATTTGCTCTCAGGTTTGGTACCACAGATGGAGCCTCAGGAAGGAGATGCTGAGGTTGCGAGTACCAATCATTACTGCCTTGTAGCCATTGGTCGCCTTCAGGTCACCAGTACACCTAACTGTGCTGACCTGGGAGGAGCAGGTACGCCCAATGAATTCATCTCAAGACACAGCATCGATGGCAAGTTCACATTCGTGGATCAGAGGTGAGGCATGCAAGCGGGCTTGAAGTTTTAAAGACATGGAATCGAACTGTAGCATACAAATATGACTAATTCCAAATTCCAGCTAAAGGGATTGGGTAACTTTGTCTCAGATTCTGAAACAAAATTCTGGATTTAGCTCATGCTGCAATGATAATTATAAACCTTTAGGTCAAGCCTCGGTCACAAATGCCATTACGAACTGTTACGAATGCCGTACGAACGTTTTTCAGACAATGGAAATTCGGGAAGACAATGGAAAAACAGAGATTCGTACAAAATTATCGTTCGTACGAACATTTGTGACCGTAGCATCAGTCAGAAACCCAATGACTTTTACAAGTTAATCGCCCATCTGATTATCAAGATATTTATGATTGGAAATCGAAATTTCAAAATTTGTTTTCCTAACAGCTTTTATAACACTACAGTCTATTGGGGAAAATAAGTATGGTAAAACCGGTCACTCAAAGATTTTTTATTTTTTTGAGGCACTTCATGATCATTTTGAAGTGCAATTGTTTTAGAGCTTCAATATTACACCATGTCACAGACACTGATAACATGTAGGGCCATGCATCTCATATTTAACATTGTTAAACGATTCCTTTTATATGTAGCATGCTTTTTTCATGCTTCTGTAACTGACATGGATGTCAAAAGTACCATTTTAGAGGTTATGATTTTAGTATTGGCATATCTGAACAATTTTGCTTCAGTATTCGAAAGGATTGTTTTCCTCAAAATGTAGTGTGTGTGAACATTGCCAGAAAGTATCCTAATGCGTCCCAAACACACCAGACTTGAGGGTATTTCAGGAGCTAGGATAAAGTGTTTGAGTTTGAGTTTGAACTTTATTATCCAAAAAAAAGTACATCAATATAAAAATCAAATGTGAATGGTTAACATTGAAAGGATAAATGGGACCAGAAAATAGCATTTAATGCTAATCGTGTCTGGTACCACTAACACACAAAAGTATCACAGCAATGAATGAGAATGTAATCAATAAATATGAATAACTATTGAATACATACTTAAGCTACAAACTATTCTACATCTAGGGTAAATATGTTCTGTGATTAAATACAAAGCTTTTTCTTACAGAATTAAGAATTTATGAACACTTTCCTACCTCAAATCAAAACTTTAAGCACTGTGTCAAAATAAATTTGTGACTGAAATGCACTTATTGTTTTCAAATGTAACTTTGAATGAACTGTTTTTGATTGATTCACAGAGTAACTGGAGTGCTTGGTTATCAACCCCAGGAACTTCTTGGCAAGTCTAGTTTTGAGTTCTATCATAATGAAGATCAAAGTCATCTCAAAGACAGCTTTGAACAAGGTAAATCATTAAGACTATCTTTCTTTGTATTGTCTGTTTTATCATTTAAAGCCCCACTGCACTACTTATAGCTACTTGTGCCCTCTATATAGCAAACAATGCCTAATTGGTGCCTGTTGGTCCCCCATGATCCCCTTTTTCTTATGATAATTGAGAGCTGATTTGATGAGATAACCACCTGTCAATGACCTTGCAGGGAGGTCTAATCGCTCCTGGCCAAACTAGTGCAGACAGGCTTTAATTCCTTTCCAATGATGTGGAGGTTCGTTGGCTAAATGTTAGAGCAGTGGTCTAGTACTCACGAGGTCCCAAGTTTGAAACCAAGTTGATGTACTCGAATTGTCAAGTATCATGGTTAATTTGAGGCTAAGAGGGCACTCTTCATCTGAGTGGCTCCTGTAATAATTCAGTAGTCATTGGGTTAAGATATCAATAGAATAGAACATAGCTAAGAAAGATTACCAACAGTCCTTTTCAGGACTCCCCAATCCTCCCCCTCTCTCACATGGTGCAACCACAAGCCTACTGTATAGAACATATCTGTTGTAGTGTTGAAGGATAAAAAAAAAATCCTCAGAGAGGACCTAAACCCGTTGGCCGTCTGGTTGCTTACTTACAAGCATTTATGCTTTCTTAGCAGTCAGGTAAAATAATCATCACATCACATCACATCATTCAATTAGGCATTAATCTTGATCTCTTTTCTTTTTGCAGCTGTAAAGTTGAAAGGTCAGATGTTATCTCTGATGTACCGATTCCAAGCCAAAAGTCGAGACTGGGTGTGGCTTCGAACCAGCTGCTTCAGCTTTCAGAATCCTTACACCGATGAAGTGGAGTACATCGTCTGCACCAATACAGCTATCAAGTAAGAACAACCAACACCCCTGGCTGCTACCAGCCTTAGCAATTTTCTTTGTATTATTCATGTTTGTAAATTGATTCTGTGTATTTCTGTGTTTATCTGTTTTAGTAATTGTAATTGTGTGAAACTTTGTATACTGCTTTTGTTTTACCCTGTAAGTTTTTTACTGCTTGGCAAAATAAATTGAATTGGATTGAATCTTTACCAATCTTTATCATTGTGCACCAACAAAGCTATCAAGTAAGAAATGGAATCTATTCTGTTATGTGAGGTCAATCATGGCTACGGTGTGCACTCGTTTGATCTTTCAAATATTAATTGTCAAATAGTTAAAAACATGTTTGCCTCAAGGAACTATTATCAGCCTGTATTCAATATACACCCATTCACAGCCATGTGGAAATATTTGCTGCTGTTGAAAGGTTTTGATATTCATCCTGCTTCTATACAAAAACCCCAATGAATGAAGAATATGTTAGTAGGTTAACTTCTGAATCTTGTGATGTGCCCTCATAGAAGTTATTGGTGTATTTAAAATGATGATCTGTTTAAGGACAGTTTCATTCTCATATAACATACATTTTTTAATTGGATCAATCAGAATTTTCTGTTGCTCAGTATCCAGTAGGTTCAGGCTCTTATCAGGCTGTCATATTTAATGACATTATTTCCTGCTAAACTCTTATAATGTTTTCTTTCCATTAGAAACATCCAGCAGCCTCATGCAGGACAGGAGATGGACGGCACAGTGAGTACTAAGCTCAAAGCACCCGGTGAACCAGTAGCTACTATGACAGCATACGATGCTTACCCAACCGCTGCAACCGCTCCAACAGATACCTTGACAGATCATCTCCCAGTCCAGGCAGACAAGGCTAGTACCAGCACCAAGGCTGATACCTCTATGACAGGGATACGCATGGGCCAGGAACCCTCTACCGCTGGGGGGATGTTTGGAGGGGGCGCGGGACTCCTCCCCACCCAGCCCACCCCTCAGCAGAGCATCCTAGGGGGTGATAAAGCAGGGCGGAGTAGCCATGAGACAGGTGCGTCGGGATTCTCCTCCGCCTACCACCAGAGGGGGCCGCAGCTGTATGGGCGGAGTGGGGCGGGGGAGGAGAGTAGCGGTGCTAAGAGTTCCCTGGGAGGGGCGAGTGGCAGTGGGGTGATGGAAGACTCTGGTAAGGGATACGGCTCAGGACAGACTAGCTGGTCAGCGTCACAGTATTCCTCTCAAATGAAAGTAAGTTCCTCTTGTATTTATACCTTTCAGAATTGAACTAATGATTCTTGAGGTTGATAAGTGTTTCTTCTTGTTCTTGTTAGAATGAATTAGGTTTTACTCTCCTTTGGGATTGTAACTCTGATACAATAAAAATCACTCTGTTCTGTTCAAAATGTTAGTGAATAATATTTAACCCAAATGTATGTAAATTTCCTACTTTCTAATTTAAATTTGAGGATAATAAATATAAATTGGTTTGCATGATTTAATATTATTCATGGACTTGAATTAAAAGCTGTACTTTGTTGTCTTTAGAATATATTCTGGAACAATGTTTACACAAAAAACAAGATACTATCATACTGAGTTTCTGAGTGATATGGCCAAGTTGACATGTGTATCTGTTCTTGCATATCATTATGCATCTATCCTTTCTGTAAACAGAATACCCAGAGTGCTTTGCCAGCGAGCAGCCAGTCAGGAGTGCCCTTCCCCTCTAGGACTAGCGGAGCGATGACATCATCACCGACACCCTCATACACCCAGCTGCAGTCTGGAGCAGGGCGGGGCTATGGATACCAACAAGACAAAACCTTGCAAGGTACTGCACATTGAATTTTACTAGACTAAAGTTTGTCGTGAATTCTGGTAATGAAAAAGGAACAAAACTCTCATGAAATCTTCCAGATCTACACTACATGTAGATATGTATGATACACTGTACCTGCCAGATTAATTTAAAAAAAATGTCTTAAAAGTGAATGATAAGCAGAATTTGAGATGTGACAAAAACTAACTAAACAAATCTAATCAGGATATTTTCAATACCTTGTCTTGTGTATGCAGATCTTTCATTGTATTGTAGTTTTGAACATGTTTATTGGTAGTCCAAACAACCCCTAAATATGAGACTTGTTTACCTCATGTTTGCAGGCTCCCAAGCCAGTCAGATGGCATACACTGGACGTGGTGAAGACTCCTCCATGGGACGGAGAGACCACAGCATGTGGCAGCAACAGCAGCAACAACAGCAGCCACAACAGCAGCAATGGCAGCAGCAGGCGACCAGCAGTGCCCCTCCAACGGCTGAGAATCCTAGCGGAGGGGGGCAAGCCCCGCCCGTTCAGGAGGAGTTTACAGCAGATATCTACCGGATGCTGGAGGGTCAACCCACCACCACCGGTGGTTACCCTGTCAATCAACAGGTGGAAGAGTTTCAAGATATCTCCATGTTCCCTGCCTTCTCAGAGTAGAGCAGACTCTGGCTTCTTGAATACTAGAAACTCTTAAAGCCAATCTGTACTAGTTTGGCCAGGAGGGATTAGATCACCCTGCGTGGTAACTGGCAGGTGCTTATCTCATAAAACAAGCTCTCAATTAACATAAGAAAAAGGGGATCATGGGGAACCAACGGGTACCGTTTAGGCATTGTTTGCTATATAGAGGGCGCAAGTAGCTACAAGTAGTGCAGCCCCGCTTTCATGTTAAGTTTAAATTTTAGTGTACTTGCCTTGCAGCATCCGAGGGGGAGTGGTTTTTGAGAAGCAGATCATTTTTTGCAGGTTTGAAGTAGTATCAAAGTCGTCCTGGAAAAATTACCTTGGTATTTCTCTTTCTGAAGTTCCCCATACCTGGTATCCTCTCCAAGTTTTGAACAAACTGGTGAGAACTATGTTTAGACATGTGTACTAGGATGTACCATTACCAATGACCTCCCTCCCACACCTATCCCCCTCCCCACACACTTGTTATTGAATAGGACAAATTACCTTCAAGACTCATTTCTGTCCAGATAATATATATAAATCAACTTACAACAATTTATCCAGCATTGTATGGCTTATCAGTTGAAGAGACTGAAGGAATCAAAAAATAATATGAAAATACTCTGCAAGACAGACTTGTGTTCCATGCACACCCATTTTTACTTGTTTAGAAAGTGGCATGTATAGAACCTGTCTCTAGTAGTAGTAGTGGTGGTTATTTTACCTGACTGCCAGGAAAGCATAAATGCTTGATAGTATTAGTATTACGCGACCACTGCTCTACCAACTGAGCTATCACGTCTCCTCTTAATGTCTGATGTGGGTTCAAAATTTTAATTGTAAAAAACTAATTAGGTTTTGTGACCTTAGCGATAGTTTGTAATCGTAGATTCTATGGCATGCTGCTGTTGAACTAAAGTATACCCTTAAGTAGTTAGGGGTAGAGTTTAATTTTTGACATTCCTTTTTTAATGAGTTTTTTTTTTAGTGAATACCCCTTTGGTATTAACAGCACTTCATATCATGGAGTGTTTAGGAAGTTGTGGGTTATGGGGAGAAAGGGGTTATAAGCAAAAAAACATTCTAAAAAGAATTTTTGAATATATGTAAATGATATTTAACAAGTCAATATAAATGCTGTTGAACTAAAGTATACCCTTCAGTAGTTAGGGGTAGAGTTTAATTTGATACTAACAGAGTGCTGTATGACCTGCTGATTACCGCTTTATAAGTAGAATCCATCGATATGCATTAGAAAGAGCCTTAGAGGTTTATGCTTTGAGCATTTACATGTGTATCATGTATTAATTAAGATTTTCATAGGCTTGAGCTAACACAAAGATCTGCCTGTCAATAAAAGTGAACACTTTATAGTGTGTTTTGCCTTCTTTGATTTGAATTCTTGCACAAACCATGATTTAAATGGGATTCACAGAAGCATGGCTACGTGCATGGCTACGCGCTTGTGTCATTATTACTGCCAAAATTTGATTTATTTCCGAATTAAATATTGATGTTCCAAATGTTCTCCTCTGTTTCACTGATAGTTGAAAGTGATGTAGGGTAATGATTTTGCTGAAGTGCACATCAAGCTACTCGTTAAAAGTTTGTTTAGTGTAGTCGTTTTACAGATATACTTTCGCATTACATTACTTTATGATAATATGCAAAGCTTTTATGTCATTTTCTATCTTCCTCTTGTGTTGTAAATCTCTATTTCCTACTTTCTATTAATTGTCATTCTTTATGGTTTTGGCTGTAACTTTCTCACATAGATTAGAAAATAAGAAGGCAGATACTTAGGCAAATCTGGATGGTGAATGCAGAAAGTCAAGAGCTCTACCGATGTTCTTAGCTATTTCTGTTGCTTATCATTCTATTCCTGTTTCTGCAACAATCAGTATGAAATGTATCATTGTTTTGATCATGAACAAAAAACGTATGACTAATTTGTAATAAATTATATGTATATTATGATTTTTTTTCTCAATTTGTATCACTTTTTAAAATTGTTTTCCCTCTATCTTGCCATGTTCAGTACATGTCCAGAGTAAGTAATGATTGTTAAATGAGTGCTTAGAGCATAGTACTGAAGAAAGACTTCTCGTTATTAGACTGAAGTCTCTACTTTTCTGGCCCCATATGATTTGTATGTGTTTCATGCAATAGTGTTGGAGCAATGTGTACATTAACAAATTTAAGTTAAATTTGAATGAATAGCTTCTTGTTTTCCTTAATGTTGTACATATTTTTTATTCCATATGTGACTGTTATGTCACTTTTCTTTTGTATCATTATAAAAATGATCTTAATGTTTTGTACATGTTATTTTTAGGTGTAATGAATATCAGAAGTTTAGATATGAATGTGTTTGTCCATTAGGTTACTAGGTAATATTCTTAGTATTTGTTGTGTTAATAGTTGATACTAACATCTTAATGTACCTGACCATCCGGCATGGTCACTCCCCGAACTGACCAGTGGTCACCAGCGGTCAAGTATAACACACAACCCTATTGCTCTTGTAAGATTGAGAATTTTCAATAATGAGTATTTTACCTCAGTCAAATGGGGTAACTGAGCTACTCAGTTGGATGGGGTTTTATACTGAGTTGTAATAAATACTCTCTAATACTGAAAGCCCTACCATGCACATGATACATTTTCATTAGTTCTGATCATGACAGAAAATGAAACTTCGTAGAATCCAATTAAAGTTATAATAAATGTTCAAGACTGCCAAGTACATGATATTTCCTCAATGGCTCTTGTCTAAAGAAGGTGTCTGATAGCAGAGTAACGAGCAAAGAAAGATGATTAAATTAATCAAGTATAGTATCAACCACATGCATCAAACATGATATGTGGTAATAGGAGTTGTGATTTTCATTAGGTTGCGGTTAATATGTATTTATTGCATGATAAACAATTCAGAATTACTTTGAATTATTTTAACCAAGTTTCCCTCGAAATGCAATTCCACTACCAGGACTTACATTCTGAAATTTCTTGTAAGACTCTGTATCTCTTTAATAACTCCTATATGCATAAAATGCAAAGTTGGGATTTTTGGATTTTGTTTATACCACCACATTTCTCTTCGTAATATAATTTTGAGTGGTATGTATGTCATTGTGTAATAATTCCACCAAGTGGGATATTACATGTAGTATATATATGGTTGTATAATAATTGCTTTGTTTTGTAAAATATTTTGTTGTTTTATTTCTATTCCTACATCTCCAGATTTGTAAAGCTGATTAGTTAAAATATGATTACAAACACTTTGGAGACCTTCTGTATTTCTTTTTCTCAAACAGTTCTGTTAGAAATGCTTTTCTTGCTTTAATATACCAGTTGTGAAAAGGTAATCACAGTTTTATACAAACTTGAATTCCTTGTGTAATAATTGGAACTATGCTTGTATATACCGTAATCTCAATCTTTTACAGGATTTGCATTTGGCTTTTTACAGAACAGAAGTGTAAGACAGTGATTAAGTGTAAAACTAAATAATCCCTCAACATCCTTTCCATAAAAATGGGGAAAGGGTCAAGGCTTACACAATATGGGCTTACATCCCACTATTAAAAAGGCTCTGATACCTACTCTAGATCTTGGGTATGTTAATAAATGATTGGTCCAATGTCCCACTACACCCCCCCCCCCCCCCACTCTCACACACACAACATCAAGTTTTATGCTATTCACTTTGTCAATAAAATTCTCACCAGTATACTTATGTGTACTCCTATCTTATAGATGGCTTCATAATATATGCTTCTGTATTGATACATAACCAGTGACATATTTGCTGGTAGGTTACGATCTTGTTCAACAATGCATGAACACATGGGATATTGGTCTGGAAGTATGTCTTTCAATTTTGGAAAGGAATAAATATGAATAATTTTGATTTTGTGGTTTCATGAAAATAATGAATAGAATAATAGAAAGAAAGCCATACGTGGCTATGTCTTGTACTCTTGTATTAAACATTGTTTGTACTCTTCTGTTTTTCAAAGTCCCTTGCTCCTCTCCATTCATAATTTATACTGAATCATGAGTAAAAAAAATAGTAGATAATTACATTGTAGATTATAATTATACATACAGATGTCCTTTATAGATAAAGTTGTCCTTTGTTTTGAATGTTATGAAATGAAATTCTGTAATTCGATTTTTGTAAAACTTGTGAAATTGTAAATTTGTTTTTAGTGTAGTTATAATATATATATCTGTCATTTTTACCAAAAGGATTTTAGAATCAAGATGGAATAGCCAATTTTAGTCCTGTGTGTGTCATGTAGACAGGAACGTGATGTATTTTTTATCAAAATATGAAATGTGGACAATAATGATAGAAGTGAGTGTACTGGGCCTCGTGCTCGGTATGTTATGAGCAATTAAATGGTGCTGTTGGAAATTTTAAATTCATGTTTTTTTTCCTTCTGTTTTGTGCTGATTATTAAAACCAGGAAAGATGGTACTGTAGGAAAAGAGATGTAGAGACAACTAAGAGAGAAAGCGGGGGCAGGAGAGACAGAAAGAAAGAAATAAAGAGGAAAGACTGGAGAGAAGGATGTAAATATGTAATGCTATATTGGTGCACAATGTTATTGATTGAAATTAAGAGGATTCTATTACAAAAAGCAGGAGAAAAGGGTGCTGGAAAGAGAGAGAGAGAAACAAGGTGATTGTGAGGACTAGAGGTAGAAGGAAAGAAAGGTATGCAAGTAGAGAAATGGAGAGAGAGAGAGAGAGAGAGAGAGAGAGAGAGAGAGAGGGGGGGGGGGATACAACAATGAAAAGAGGAGAGGGAGGAGATAGTAAGGAGAGCAAGGGAAAGATGGAGAGAAGGATGTAATGCTATATTGGTGCATGATGTTATTGATTGAAATTAAGATAAAGAGGATTCTATTACAAAAAGCAGGAGAAAAAGGTGCTGGAGAGAGAAAGAAACAGAAGGTGATGGCGAGGACAAGAAATAGAAGGAAACAAAGGTATACAAGTAGAGAGAGAGGGAGAGAGAGGGATATAGTAAGGGAGAGAAATGGGAAGGCAGAAATCGAAAAAAGAAAGAGATATATAAGAGGAAGAGAAATATATATTCACTGGAGTGCGAGATTACTATTATAGTTGGGTAAATAAAAGAAAGAAAGAAACTAAAGGCTAACAGATGGAGAGCAAGGATAGAAAAGACTTCAGAGACTGGATCCATCATATGGCACCGCAGCAGAAAAGATGTTATCAGTAACAGAACAGATTGCATTGAATACAAAGGAACATAGTCTACATCATGTGGAGAATGTAAAGGGGTGTGTCTTTTCTCTTTTTTCAGCTCGTGATCACTCGCATAGCTCAAGCAACTCGTCATCAATACTATTAGTTTCAATTATACCGAGCCCTTGTTAAACCAACCTCTTATGTTGAAACAAAAACTAGATTACAAATCGGTCCCATTCATCTCAGCTGGCACACATGGAGGCGTGTAACACTAGGATCCGATTCCATCCATATTTGGTTCTGTTGTTGGAATTGATAAAGTGTTATGCCAAGGACAAGCTCATCAATCAGGGATTATATTTGTGAAAGGAATAATCTGATGATAATACTGCCAATGAGGAAATGATAAACCAGGGAACATTATTGCAATTTCAATAGCCTTTAAGATCACCCTTCTAAACGTGCGAACATTATAGTGACATATTACATAATCTGAATATGATTTCTATAGGACATAGGACATACAATAGGACATACAATTCAATTCAATTCAATTCAATTCAAATTTATTCATGTTTCCAACAAAACATTACAAATCAATTATGAGCATTTAAAACAAATTTAAGAAATACATGTTGGAAACAGAGGGGTCCACTAAAAAGCAATGCTTGTACAAGTGTGGACACCTCAAATGAAACTTAGGAATAATGAGTAATTAAATTATCTAATATGTAACTACAAAAGGAACTATAAAATAGGGAAATAAAAGGGGAATGCCAACAGAGACGAGAAAGGGACAAGACAATACTTTACACGACAAAGATAGAAGAACACGGTCATAATACAAAGAGTAGACAATTCCAAAAAGAAGTGAGAGATCGAGGGTACAGAAAATAATACTAAAAGATGAGCTGCATGTGGGGTTGAGAAGAAGATGAGGAAAGAGAAAGGAAAAAGACATACAATAGGACATACAATAGGGCACTGAAATTTCCCTTTAGGTTGAATTTTCTAAATAAGTAAATATCATGTTAGAGGTTTTTTAAGTTTTTTAGTGAAAATTGAAAATGGTTTACTGTTCTGTCATGAATATATTGATAATTACTGTAAAAGGATCATATTAGAAAATTTTAGCCATAGAATTAAGTTATCATTTAGTATATGAAAAGGGAAATTTACCTTTTCAATTTCTTCATTTTCTGATTGTCTTACAATAATTAATGACAGGACAGTCAACAGAGATGCCAATTTAATTGTTTACAATTGACAACAAGAAATCATCAACGCTCATTATTACTCAGTCATTTGATTTCCATCGTGTGATTTCCCTCATGTTTTATATTAGGTCTGTTTCTTTGCCTTTTCTGCATTTTTTAAATCGTTTTTTTAATTTTTTAAGCAACACATATGGGGACAAGAGTGTAAAAAACATAAGCCTAAGCAATGTAATTTCTTTCATACGTGTATTGTATATCAACACATTACATATTACGAGACAGTTCCTGTACTACATTTTGCATCAACTTCCTGTATAAGATAAACATAATATAAAGTGACATCTCTCTAATCTAGTGCTTGAAGTTATTTATAAGCCTATTAAAGTATCATCTTAATGTTATCATGGAAGGCCAGGAGACATCAGTATAGCAGTATAAGTTATGCAATAAGGAAGTGTGTTATAGTGCAGACAATATTATGTGTCCTGCTTCCTTTGATGATAAGAGATGTAATGATTGATGTCCTGGTTTAGAGGGTGCCAAGATGGTCTCTCAATGGTTGAAAGAAACCTTCTTAAGATTGTCTCTCATTGGTTGATAGTAACCTTCTCTTATAAAAGATGATCTCTCATTGGTTGATAGTAACCTTCCCTTATAAAAGATGATCTCTCATTGGTTGTAGTAACCTTCTCTTAAGATTGTCTCTCATTGGTTGAAAGTAACCTTCTTTTGTGCAGATTACTTTCTCCCTTGTGAAGATTTGCTCTTTACAACTCTGCTACATGTGTCATATGTATGTAGTCAGAGCAAGCCCTCAAAATGTATCTCCATCTAATAATATTTTCATGGCTACCCTACCATCCAGTAAGTATGGGCCTGTGTTTGCTACATCTACAAATTAAGCTCCCAGTCATTTCCAATGCGGCAGGGCTCTATAGAAACTTTTGTGTAGGGATCCCGTTTGAATTTGGGGGGAATGTATCTGAGCACTTAGTTGAGATTTCCAAATTTAAGGGTCCAGACTTAAGAGGCTCCATGTGTCAGGGGTGCCTAACGACAAGGATTGCAATGGATTTATAAATGGTGTAATTTCAGTGTCCAATAATTGACCCTATCTAATCAGTTTATTTGACAAAGGCCCACATTGATAGATTTAATCAAATCATTTCTCATTCAAAAAACTTCTCTCGACAATCACATTCTAAGGAAATATCCACACTCCTGCAACATTTCAGAGGTTTTTGAGTTCGGGTTCTTTCAATTAATGCAATATGAATAGTTACAGCAGTGTGGATACACTACACTTTCACTCATTGCTCATCCGTCACAGTCATTATCTTTTCAACCATGAAGGGCATTTCTGATCCAAAATGTGCACTAAATAATTGCACTAAAAAAAAGTAACCACCAAACAGACATTTTAAATATCATCTGTGGGATATATATGTAGCTTTGCATGCTAAAATGTTTGACATTTAGTTCAGTATCCATTCTGAAAAGGTAAATGCCCTCCATAGTTCAAACCAGTCTATCAATATGTTTGCTTCACGAACCACTAATCTCTATTAAGCCAACAACAAGGAATTGTCTCAACCACTTTCACCTAGCATCATCACACTCTCTTAGTACCATCACAAACAGCATTCAACTGGAAACTCTCTTTTAGTACGGTTCATCACCAATGCCACAGTTTGGATGGCTATCATAACACACTTGTCATGTCATGATGTTATCATCATTCACCATCTACAAATCTACTTGTATTGTAATTTTCAAATAACTTGGCATGGTCAATCGGATATTTTTTGCCGTTAGATAAATGATCCGTTTATTCATCAATGTTGCGGGAACAATGCACAGCCTGCACTGCTGCTATAACTACACACTCTTATTTCTTGGACTGTAAGTACTTTAGCACCAATAAATATTCCATCCCAATTTTTGTCTTTCTTTACCGTTTTAAATTCAGGTCTTCCTCATTTCATAGATGTAATTTAGCCCATCCATTTCTTCGAGCTGTAGGCTTGCTCTTTTAAAAAACACTCCGGTTGTTAAAGAACAATAATTTGTTCATAAGTGATCCCATTAGTTCTGATATGGCAAACTCTCAGAATTTCAACAAGCCACATTTTAATGTGCTTTAATATGTATAAACAGCGAGAGTTGCATATTACGTTTTCCCATGTCCAAACGTTTAAAAAAGTAAAAGAAAATAATTTCCCATAAATGATCCGAGAGATTAGGTGAAGATCAACAGAGCTGACATGCTGCTATTAAAGATAGAACCAATGCTACAACTCTTGTATCTACGCATGCTATGATGTTACGCTTTGCTGCTCCAAACATTCCAGGTGTAAGTACAGGTTGGGATGACTCTATCGTTCCCCAACTCTGAATAGAGGATCAAGTCTGAGAAGAAAAGAGATTTTCTTCCACGATTGCCTCAGAAAATCAGTGTTTGCCAATTGTTGTTATGCCTCAAATCTAATCCCGCTTTCCTAGTATGTCAACTCCCTGAATCTTCATTTAACTCTTTTTGCTTTGCTTGAAGTGTGTCTGAATCAAATTCAGAAATAATTTACAAGACTTTGGACAGTTCACGTGACCCGAGACACACCTCAAAGCTTGACTTTAAAAGAGGAACAAAACAAGAAAGAAAAAAAGGTTAAAGAGAGGCTAAAATCAGACCATGATAAATCATTCTTCTTCTTCACACAGAACAAACTCAGAGCTGCCAACCAGAGGGCACAAATGTTGTCAAAAAAGGGAGATTGGATCAGTTTTAATGAAGATCCCACATGTTAAACAGCAAAGAGTCAGTCACAGTGAGTGAAATAAACTGGAATAAAGGCAATTTTTCAGTTATTATGAAGTGCTGTGTTTTAATACACCATGCAACCCTCTACATAGTCCAAACTGGGTTCGTTTCCGTACAATGATTTTCAATGGTGATTTTATAACCTTTCCATGACAATTGCTCAGATGAAAATCATGCAAAAAGTACAGTAAACATATGCAGGACATTGACCATTTAGAGCAACAAGTAGTGTTTTGTTTCTTGTTGTAAGAAAGAAGTGATCAATCTGAAATAGCACTGATTCAATTCTTACTTTTCATGTATGAGTAAATGATATTTGTTTTAACAATCATTACACATATGAAGTACCAGTTCATTGATTCATTACAATGAAGAAAAAAATGCAAATACTCACACATTAAATCTTTTCACTATATTACACTCTAGATAAGCAAATAATGAAATATAAACATTTAGGATACAAAGACTTGTCATTTGTAGTTCTGTAAATCAAGAAATTTATTTTTCTAGTGCATAATCTGACAACACTACAGCACTAATGACAATTGCGTAATCATAAATGATAGGTGTATAAAACATACAAAGTTTTGAAGTCAATTGTTTTGTCTAAGAATTTCATATGATCTATAGTATTCTCCAGCTAAAATGATAATATATATAATTATTAGATATTAAATTAGCATTACTTTGTACATGATTAAATTTCTTTTATAACTGTCAAGAAGGGTTTCATATCAGATCATACACACTACACAAAACATATGTTATTAAATAGATTCCCTTTTACACTAATGCTTATGTCAAATACAAAGCTAATCTACAGAGCGAGATGATGTAGTCATTTTATCTACATGTATAACTAAGCATTGAGCTTTAAGATTACTTTGTGAATATACATCCGTGCTGAACTAGTACCAAACAGGCTAGATCAGACGTGGAAGCATAGTAAGAAATCTACTCATGTCATATCAGAAAACATTGAAGCAAATCAAATAGAAATAAAATTACACTCTGTTTCTCATGCTCACGCTGACAAGTTTTCATCCAAAGAAATAATATGAAACAACAAAAACTGAATTTTTCTCCAGATGGAAAAAAAAGAAGATATTTGAACATTCTGATCATGAAAGAAGACACGATTATACATAAATTGTGGTGAGGGGGCAATAATATACCGCATAAGATATCAATCCTTGTCCGATGTAGAAGCGACTGATCTGACTTTCATGTCACAGTCTAGAGCGCCTGCCTAACGTAGCAGTCAACATCAAACCATTCTTTTCAAGAACTTTCAATTCATTACAATACCAATCCTGCAATAAAAAAAGTAACGATTACTTCTATAAATTACCTTTTGCAATAAAATATCTTAAAAAGAACAATACTTTTTTGCCTCCTTAACTAAGACGGTACAAGTGAAAATTACTGTGTACACTTTCTCTGTTTTGTACTGAGAAAACAATTCTTTCCCTCTCTCTTTCTAGGATTTTGAACATAGAAACATAAAATGACGGAACATAACTAATGTCTAGATTGATGTCTAGAATTGATGGTGTGGACTCCGCGCTCCAGGAGTGGGACTCTAGGACGAGATTGGCTAGGGCTGAAAATAAAAGAAGGTTGCTATGGATACGTGTAAGGAAGCAAGAGGGTTACTATGGCAACTCCTAGATATCCATGTTGAGTTCTTGCAAGCAGCGATCCATCTCATCGTTCATCCCTCTGCTCTTTTCCTTCTCCTGCACCAATTCCTCTGCACGGGTCAACGAGCCAGTAAAGCAACAATGTGGGACAGTACAATGGGACACAAACAGGGAAGAGGGGTAGTACACAACAAGGGTCAACGTAAGGCAACAACAACAAGAGGATAAAAGAGAGAAAAGAAAGGAAATCAGCAAAATTATATTTGGTATCAAATCGAGGCAAAAATAGTAAAAACAGAAACAAAGGAAAGTAGAGCGAGGCAATGAGCTACATACCCTACTTTTTAAAACTTTTTTTGTTTAAAGAGAAGAGAGAAGAGGATACAAGAAGTACATTTATTTATATTTATACATTTTAAGCAGAGCACTGAATGAGAGAGAGCGCCCTAATGATTACATAATGCACCATAATATCATGACCACACAAAGATTACTTAGTAGTACATACCTACAGCATAGTATGTTCTATTCACACTGTTTGGGCTATTGAGTGCACAGTAAAAACCAGATACCACTACAGACTGACGACTGCTCTAGTCCTCTAACACATACTTACCACCAAGATGGTATGTACACATATGTATATATGTACAGGTCCACACAATTGTCATTCATAATACTTAAGAAGGGTGAATGAGAGAGTGAGTGTAATATACGTGTTTCACAATGTTAAGTTAAGTAACTTCATGCAATGTTAAGTTAGCTACAAACATGTTCCTTACATTGTAATGCATGATAGGATAGACAATGCTGAACGAGTCATTCAATCACTGATTTCTCCGTCATTGAATGGAATCTTCTTAATTAAAAACTGTCAATTTTGCAGCAAGGTATTATACATTAAATATGCATTTTCCTAATAGATATCAAACCAGATTATTTCAACACTCCGTTTATGACACAACAACCACACCTATAACTGTAAGAAACCTAAGATTGATGGAAAATATCAAACTAGAGATCTTTTCAAGACTTGAATAGTGCACAGATGGAGCCTTAGAATACTGAATTAAAAAAAAAATCTTTTCTTGATCAAGCTTGGAATTTGGAAGTACAAAAAATAAATTAGGAATGTGTTATTTGGTGTCCAACACTAATTTGGTCCTACATTTATCGATTGTCGCTCCAATCAACCCAAGCGATGAACTTGTAGAATTGTTTTCATTTCCCTTTCTTTTATGAGAGACTCAACACTTGAATGATGAAAAAGAGAGCGATACGCTAGTTGCTTTACATAGGAGAGAGTCTATAATGCAACATTGAGTGTTGAAGATTGCACTTCAATCTTCAGCACAGTACTAAGTACACATTGTAATCCAACCTAGAAACCAGCAACAGTTCATGACAGAGGAGTGGTAAAAAGGAGTAGATATATTTGCATTTTTCTTAAACAAAAACACAAGATGAAAAGAGCAGTCTTCTACAGGTCTCCAAGCTCAGTTAAACAGCTATCTAAATCCATTTGAACTTTACGGTGTTCCTCTTTAGTAACTTGCACTTCAGCTGTAAAGAGAGAGAAGAAAAAGAAAAGAAAAGAACAATTAAAATGTGATTGCATTTGGTGAAATAAAAACAAGTCCATTTTACATTCATACTAATATCCAATGTTGACAATATCTCGAATATAAACAAAATAATCTGTCCATTTTGGCATAATCCAAACATCAAACTGAAGTACTGCTTTAACATACTCTCTGTATTCACTGCCCCTTTTAAAATAATCATATAATCTTGTCCACAGTATTTCACTTCAGTACTGCTAAAAGTAAAAGAAAATGTTGAATTCAAAGACAAAAATAAGTTTATTGAGAAACTAACTGAAAACCAATTTAGCATATATGGCTTTTCATTAAAAAAAAAATAACACAATAATCATTATTACTTTCATCTAAATATGTGAGGATATTTCTTGTGCTTTCATTTTGAAGAAAACTTTGTACGGATATAATTAGGGTGAATTCTGTGCAGTGAGAATTTGGCTATTGAGTACAATGGGTCCTAGCGAATGCCCCACTATCATTTTATCATTTCTTTTGTACCCTAAAATAATAATTCTTTGGCAGTTTCATCTCTTGAACAAAATAATAAAAATGACATATTGAAATGAAATCCAATTTGTAATCAAAGCAATAATCCCACTCTATCACAAAAACGCCACACATGCATGCCACAAAGAAAGATTACATATGATGATCGAAGACCACAAACAGAATTACAGGTAACTGCAGCAACAGCAGCTGATTGGGGGTAAAGATATCCCCTTGTATATCAAGTATGCAAGAGGTTTGTGGTGAATGCTAAATTTTGTATGAGCTTCAAATTCTGACTTGGGCTAAAACAGTGGCATGTATATTATAGAGTTCAGTACAATCTTGATTCAATAAAGCATGAGGGCACTTTAATTACTTTTATCACCACTAGATCATTCCTTCTGTGATACAGGAATCATTGCAGGTATATGTATAAACTAGGATACAACATAATATAAATGCTAACTAGATAACTTCATGTAGTTACAGCAAGTAATACAGCAAGTGACTTATCATACCCTGAGAGGCTTACTTATCATATCCTAGGCTTTGTTTCACTACAAACACCCATCTCAGTTCTATTAACATCAGCATGGTTTCTTTTTCAAATAATTAATCTTAACCCAACAACGTAATTTACTTGAAAGTAAATGGCACATATGATTTGAGACATCATTAAGACTAGATTGGAGGGTGTGTACGTACCAAACTTCTTGCCAATCTCACACTAAAATTAATGTGCAACATGTGACATTTGGATACAGCCCATCAACGAGCTATGTTAAATTTTGCTCTGATAAGATAGGATTTTTGCCTTTTTTAAATAAATTTAAATCAAGCCCTGACACAATGCACATTACTTTGGTTGGACTAAGTGACTGGAATATAAGGAGTGATGTGTTTCTCATTTCATTTCTACATTAAGAGTGAATGTGAAAGTGAGATGCACGTTGTATAGTGAAGTGTTGTATATCTAAGTGCTCATGCAATAGTGGCATTTTGTGTAGTTTGTTCTTGCGTGAATGTATACATGATTGAAAAACTGGGTCATCTGGTTCATTCTCAGAAGGATTTCTAAATGATCGTCAGCACTGTGAGAGTGTGGTGTCTTGCTCATTAAAACTTGTTATAATTTCGCTATATTGCATTTAGATTCTCAATATAAGTTTACTATGTCAGGACAATGACAAATCTGAAATGCCATATCCCCAGGGGTCAGAGGTCAGAAATCAAAGGTCATAAGAGACTAGGGTATATCAGGAAACAACACAGGATACATTCAAGACATGAGAAAATCTGTACACAGATCCTTGACAAACTAAAGGGTAAAAGCATCACAGGAGTGATATTTCACGTATAGAAAGAAAAAGAAATGTTTTCAGCGAGGCTAGAAGTGTCTGCCAAAGATATACGAAAGACAATACGTGTAATCAATCATACATTGATATCTACAATTACATTAACATCAAAAAGGGAAAAAATACATAAAATGAGATAGAAACTATATTTGAAGACACAGATTTGTCACACGAATAAGAAAAATGATAATTTTTTTTTTTAACAGTGAGAATAAAAGAGAATCACTAATATGAAAACTATCAAGAAAATCAAAAGCGACGGGAGGATAATCAAATTTGTAATGAGCAACTTGAAGACTAGAGGGAAGCAACAAAACCAAAATCATAATTGAAATATGAGCAAGCACATTGAACTTTCTTTTTCTTTCCATTTCACGATTAACTAAGAACTAAAAGGAAGGTCTGCAGCAGACAGTGCCATGATATGATATAGTTTACCCAGCTCCATATGGGGTAGAGCGTGAGAGGAAGAGTACAAGCCTAAATGGCCATGAGCTCTATCTCAAGACGTTCCTGTTCAGCAACGGCTTTGTTACACTTGGCTCTCGTATCACACAGGCTTTCTAAAGAGATCACAGAATAAGTGTATTAGTAGAGACAGCTCTTATACACAGCAATGTGCAGCACAAGTCACTTTGTTTGGGCCTGTTATATCAATCATGTAATACAATTTAAAAACAAAACTGCACATTGTTTTACGTCTGATTTTACAAATTACTAGAAAGATCAGAGTGTCAGAAGAAAATAGTCTCCTTTTTAATTTAATTGTCTAGTATTAACATACTTAGCAATTGACATACTGGTACAGCTAAATTTTATGATTTGTTTTTCTTTAGTTACATAACTTTTTATAGAAATATAAAGGATATAATTAGTGGCACATTACATTCTGCAGTTTTTATGGTTTTTAATCGGCTGCTTTTTGAGATTTGGTAAATCTGTAAATCTAGCATATAGAACACTTTCTATTCTTGTACACTGTGTTCCAGATGTATTAATGTGAGTTAAATAAATGAAATATGTTGTAGATCGTTGATTTATGCATTTTTAAAATAAAATGTGTATTAGGAATACTATGGAGCGTTTACATCTGTGTATTAAAGCAAATGGTTGTGCTTCCTTAATGACAGGTAACCAGGTAATAATACTTAATGCCTTAGTGTATGAAAAATGTTAACCCACTTATTGCACGACTCTTAAAACAATGACTGAACAGATTGACATCACTGAGTTGCCAATTTGTATTTTGCATGAGCAAAGATCCTTGTTGGTTTGGATAGTTTCAATTACGACTGGATTCTGAGGTTCCAAACGAGAGAATGTAACAATCCATAATTCCGAAATGGACTTTCTGCTTGAATTACCAGCATATTGCTAGGCTTACGTGTATATAACATGCCGACTGCATGGTACTTACAGTTTGAAATATTTACATCTTTCATACATTTATCAATGAAATAAAACTCTCTGTACAATGTAAGAAATGTAGTGGGAGAAACTGAAAGAAAAGAACAGGAAGAGAGAGATACAAGACTTTCTGTGCTGAAGTATCATTACTAAAACACAATATAAATCTAGTTAAACTGAACTCTTTCCTAAACATATTTAGGAAAAACAACAAAAAGAGCGCACAATAACTTGAGTGGGGGTGTTAGTTTGCTACACCTGAACTAATTGTACAACAAGGAAGAAATCTTTCCATTCCATTACTGTAAATCTTTGAAAGCATACAGATCATTAAATGCTCAAGTGGAACTCAACTTATTTTTTTAAACGTATATGTAGGCCTACATTTTACATATATACTGTATATGTCATGATACACATTCCTCTAGAGCTGCATACTCCTTGCAACAAACGAACCTATAAATTCCCTAAGTGCTTTTTAATTGCTGATAACTGTTTCTATCAGACAACTCATCACTGAAAAAACAGATTTGACTCCCTCTTGATAGTCATTACATGCCCCCCCCCCCCCTCCTCACAAAAAACCCTCTTGAATTACTACACTGTTTTAAACTACACACCATCTACAATTGTTCAATTAAATATTTCCCAGTTTTTATCTTCTTTTACATTTTTTGCACTTTCATTCACCTTACCCTACTCTCCTCTCCCCCAATGCCCCTCTGGTCAATTATTTGTCTGACTGACACACACAGAGCTTGGCGGATACGCTTCCTGGATTGTCCATTCTCAACACCCCCTAGCTGTCCCCATCCCTCCCTCAATCAGAGAGAGCTTCTAATGACCCCTAGCCATAAACCGTCGGCTTTACATCCTGTATCTCTGCAGTAAGCCACAACATATCATAATCGTCTTCTGCTTTAAAGAGATTAATCACTCACAACTTAATATTAGAAGACATAATATCATCCAATGAAACTATGTGGCATTTAAATGATTAATGACCAAAGAGCATTATAGGGGAAAAAATCATTGCATGCCGGTACTATTGTCTGTATACTAGGCCTGCACATGAATGGTGCACCAAATTCAATAAAGAGAATCAACGTTTATCTGAAATGCAATATCATGATTAAAACTTGAAATGTCTCTGTACTTGAGTATCGCCTCAAGTTCATACTCTGAATATCGAATACACAAATTAAGTCCCAAGATATACAGAACAAAACTATTTCTGGTTTATTGGTCCACTTTAAAACCAATTAGACTTAGGAAACTGATAGATAAAATCCAAGAGTTTGGTTGTGCCAGAGAAAATCATTTACATAGATATTAATCTCCTAGTATATCTATATGACAAGATTCAGGAAGAGTAACTGGTAGGAAATTCAAAGAATTTCTTTACACACATAACAAATGTCTAAGAATACAGTACAAACTTGTATTTCATACATACACACAGACCAGCATGCTTACATGTGACAAAGTCTGTTTATATTGCAGGCAGGATATATAGATGGATCAACACACAGAAATACAGAATCCTTGTCCATGCATATAATCTAACAAACTGCAAGATCTAACTGGAACGTTTTGATTACAACAAATTTAAATAACACCAGCAAGCTCAACACACATCTGAAAAACCAAGGGTGAAGACAAAAATGGAATGTTTCAAAATCTAAAGAGACTGAAATTTTGCTTTAAGTCTAGTTCATCTCACACATTGATTTTGTCCTGATTAAAGGCACTCTGACAAGTAAATCGTTTTAATCTGTCCCTTATTATGCACAATGACAAGATGTAATGCTATTAATATATTATTTTTTTAACAAAGTAGGACCAAGTATTGGAGAGTGTTCCTTTATTAACTGTAAAGAAAAGAAGCCTGTGAGCCAACGTCCTTCAAAAAAAAATCATTCTAAATCCATTGCCAATGCATACATGTATGTTGGTCTACTCTACATCTATTTATAAGCATTTCCTGTTGGGATCTTGCACAAGTAAACCAAAGCATTATATAAAAATTTCCTACATATGGTTATGAAACAACACTAACACACAATTGTATGAGAGAAAGCGTCTGGTTAAATGAAGTCTTTATCGTCTGCATGCAAACTTGGTTGAAATTACAAGTTAAAAACATGATGTTGAACTAGCAAGTCCCTCTGCTTCATTCTAGCTTTGTAAAACACAACATGAAGGTTATAAAAGATGACTTCTCTATTCATTCAGAACATCAACAAACCGGTTAGGTGGTAGAGATTTGACATGCTGCTTTCCGCAATAGTCCTTACCAGTTCCACATTACGTCTAGATGGTCCACGATGACAGAAATCTCCCAAGTTCTCTCCAATGCTCGATGAACGTCGCTGTCACATCCACTCTTAGGATACCACAATCATCGTAGCACAACTTATGAAACTGATGGGACACTGCACATGTAGTGCAGTCTTTGATGCCCGATAAAAGACAACTTGCAACGTACCACAATGAGCAGTAACATTGTAATAAGTGAGGTTGGGAGAATTGAACTGTATTGTACAGAGTACATACAAGCAGGCAGGTGTGGGGATGGGATGGGATCTCGTGCATCCATGGGATCGACTTCATGCCACAAAGAAACACTGTTACATGTATAGACAGTCAGCATAGTCAAAGACAAGTCGACCTGAGATAAGTCCAATATGTTATCAACTTGAGAAGATGAAAGGATATCTTGAAAATCTAGAGACACAACATCAAAAACAATTTAGAAAATAGACAACAGCAAATTGGTTGCATGCAACACAAGACAACCTCAATAACGATGAGACATGGAGATTGGCAGATCTTAATGTTTCTATCAGAGATGACTTGAATCATAACCCACTTATTCTAGCTAGCCCAATGTTGTTGACCTTCTTACAATGTTTATTGTTTGGTTAATCAGAGATTTGTCACCACAAGTAAAACTCAAGAACTGAGCATGGAAGTGAAATGTTTATTTCCTCTGCTGTAAAATCAGGCTATCCGCATTTGATTTGAAACATGATCATTCTTTAGCATGATCATGTCAAAACATCATTTAAACTATGTATTTAGAAAAAAGAGTAACCAAAAGTCTTGATTTTCCTTTTATCAACAGCAAATCTCAATCATTACTCCCTACGTTCCCAGTAAATACACTGTATTTCCCTGTATATCCCTTTGAATAAGAGTAATGGAATATTCAAGGAGACATGCTTATTTTTGTAAGATTAGGTATAAAAGCTATAAATCTTTTTATGATGAGAAACAAGGTAATGTTCACAAACCATGACACACACTTTAATCATTAGTTTAAGTATTAGTAATGGAAAAAAAATGGATTTCTACATCAAATATAAAAGTTACATCAATCTACATAAAAAAGATTATTATTACAATGATCGACATTCAGTTATGTTTTGTGTTTTTTGTCATTAGTTTATTTGTTTGTTCGTCTATTTAGGGGTGGAATTAAAAGCTATAAAACGAAATTGTGTATATTTATGCCCATTTTAAATGCTAATGGAGCATTTGAATGTGAGATTAAATCTTACACAAGAAAATGAAAGTCACTGTATACAAGTGAAAAGTAGCTTATTCTGTATTGATGATAAAGTGTATTTGGTGTGGTGCATTTAATATGTGCAAAAGACTACAGATAAAATGGATGCTAGGTACATCTACCACATCATAGCAATGTGGTAATGGTGTATTCTCAAGAAAGATGTCTGCTAATAATCACGGAAGCCCAAGAGCGATACTTTCAATACATCGCTTCCAGAGAAACAAAAAGGACTTTAGCTCATGATAGCACTTAATAAACATTTAACGCCCTTCTGCCTCTCAGGAGACGACATACTGATTGAGAGCTGCAAGTTTCTGTTTCAAACACATGATTGGATTATGACAAAATATGATTTATATTCAAACTGCTAATGGGTATAAGTGGGGTAGAATGTCACTTTCACTCTGTTTGTCTCTATGGGATAGTGTGCAGTTGAGGCAGGTGCTGTGAATTGAATTTTTATTGCATGATGCAATGAAGTTTATCAGAGCTTGTAAAAGATAGCATTTCCTCAATATTTTGCATGTACAACTAACTGTCTTGCAAACCCAGTCACAGGAAGTATATAACATGTCCGTTCAATGGTATCTATTTCAGAGGTTACGATGTCGTAAAACGAATGACTACATCCCCCCTCTTACTTCTAGTGAGAGTGAGACAAAATATCATGAACATGTTACTTAGGCATGTGAAGTGTTTTGTTTGTTTGTTTATAGTGCAATTCTATCAAATATGTTCTTGTAGTACATAAGGAAAGAATATATGCTTTAGGACTGAAAGTATGTACATCATAATATGCAAGGCATTTGCAGATAGTGACAAAACTGTGAGATTATAGTCTACTTTACCAGTGGTATTCTTCAAATCTTCATGCTTGTTAATACAAATCGATGGAACAAACCATGCTTCTTCAAATCAGAATTCAATTAGTTCAGTAAAACTATTATTCTAATCATAAATGTGTATTAGAAAGGAGAGATGCTTGGTTCACTGAACAAGTGTCTTGAAGAGCAGTTGGGGGAAAAAATTCATGATTTACAAGTGAAGCATTTCATCAGTATAATGCATCTTAGTGGTATCTGGTTTTTGTGCACATCTCAACGCTACCGGTTATTTGACCGAAGTATGAAGATAGAGAACCTACTACACTCTATGTGAACTGATCTTACTTAAGACACTGAACCTCGCATCACTTATGTCCTTATCTTTTGCTATTCACTTGAGCAATATTTGGCACAAATGTTAGCCATTCTACCATAAAATAACAATGATTTCATATATCATAATATTTCTAAATATGAAAGAGCCCTAATGAGCTCAAATCCATCGGCAATAGACCAGTTTACTAATATATTCAAATGTTAAGGATGTTTCCCCTCTTAACCCATATTGACCAACTATCTCATCAGCCAGTTATGCATGATTGCATCACTGTATATGGAACCACTGTAAGTAAATTATGTTGGTGCTATGTCTGGCAACCATCTGCCAAATTTGGGTCATCTGGAGCAATTTTTTTCTTCAAAGTACACTTAAAATCTGATTCCATTAATAAAGTGGTCTTTCACCTGTATCATCCTACTTTTAGGACATCATACAAGAAACATTTTGACAACAAATGGCATGAGATAGCATCAATGCTTCATACCAAATGAGTTGTTGTTTTCATATTGGGCTCAAACCTTACATTACCCTGACAGATTACTAAGGAGACAGCACTATCCCCTAAAGCAATGATAACATCTGGTCATAAGCTCATTCACTGGCCCTCATATAAAGTCAATTTAATCCGAGTTTCAATGTAGGTAAGGCTGGGCATGATGCTAGACAGCCTATCTAAAATAGATGTGCAATGTGTAGAAATGAGATTTGCAGTGATGACAAACATGTATGTTACAAAGCTACTATGATGGACTCTTACAAAAATAAGTTGCTTTTCTGCCCTTTTAGCACGTTATACAAGCCTGCTTTTCTTTTGATAAGTCATATCATACATGACTAGGGGCCCAAACTGGTTCTTGCCTTGGTGCCATTGATCACCTAATATCTTTTGGAGCACCTTGAAAATCTGGTCTTTGTTGCCGTGATGATATAACAAATCTCGCATGATGAAAATTTCAATAGTTTCCTGTGAAATTTTCTGCTGTTCTCTATAAATGAACATCAAAAAATTTGAATTTGGTAAGCTAAGTAATGTCCAGGTCTCCTAGCTGGGAACCAAAATACAAAGATAAACGAGAACCCTGAAATGATATCTGAGCTGTCAGACATTACATGATGCAGGAATGATAGTGCTGTCTATATGAAGAGCTTTCTGTAATGGTAATGTAAGTTTGGTTGGTACATGGGTGTAGTAGATAGATGTAAGGTACTGTACCTTCAAGAGAGTCTACTTGATGTTGCAGAGACTTGACTTGGCCTTCAGCTCCCTCTGCACGGTTGCTAGCCTGTAATCAAACAAAGAAAAACATAGATACATAGATATACAGTCTTTTCGGTTTGGTGTAGCTTGATTAGAATCATCACTTAGGCCCATTTTGATTGCATTATCAAACGTGTTACTGTGTAGGTGTCGTGGTCTAGTGGACAAGTCATGGACAAGTCGCGGCGCGGGACTAATGTCCTTTGACATTCATCTACATTTGCCACACTCGAATCGAGTAAGGTGAGTGAGGTAAGTAAATGGGTACCCGACAGGAATTAATTCCTTTAAATGCGCGAGCACCATAATAGCAGCTATGCTGAAGCCGGTGTAATAATTGTGGAGCGCCAGGGCTGTCGAGTCTGACAGACATGAGTACTATACAAGAACCCACTGTCCTTATAGCCTGTAACAGCAGTATGCCAGTAATTCAATGTGTGCACTGATTGTTGTTTTTCAATCATGATATTAATATGATATCATTATCACATGATATATCAAATACTGCACAGGCACTGACACAGACTTATGTCAGGCAAATGATCGTAACTACAATTTTAACATTTCAAACGAAAAACGCCACTTATTTGGGCCTTCTTCCTAGTATGATACTTGAGAAATAAAAGTAGTTCTTGTTCGTACCTCATCGAGACCGTCCCTCAGTTGCTTGATTGATGCCTCGTATTTCTCCTCACGCTCTGTTGATTCACGGTCCTGGGCTTCCAGTGACTTGCAGTTATTCCTCAAGGTGGTGATCTCATCGGTAAGCTGTGCCAATTTGCTGTGCGGAGAATAATCATCAACGCAGATGTTGAACAATAAGAATTCTCAGATATATTCCATAATTCAAAAATTTATATCAATACAGTAAAATATTGAGCTAACTTTTGTTTCATGTTGTCAGAATATATCGTGGTCATTTTTACAGAAGGAAAAGGTTGAAAAAAGGCACTCTAAAAATAAGGGTTCCACACTAACTTTTTTTGCAAGTGGGTTCCGATTGTACTTTTTAGAAGTCTGTACGTATGAGCCCCATTAAAAAATGTAAACAACGTTGGGGTCCGGACATAATTTTTTGGGGTCCATGTGTCCCGGGCACCTCTTTGTGAAGAGCCCTCTATAACCTACTTACTGCAGTACATGCTTTTATGAATACGGGCCAAAGATTCTTACCTTTCGCACTCTGTGTTTTTGGCCTCAGCAACCTCCAGCTGTTGCTCTGTCATCTGGAGCTTACGCTGGGACTAGTGGATATAATATAATCGCAACAAGGTAATCATTTGTGAATTTTCTAATTTCTATATTGGCGTTACATTTGCTCGTGCCTCTCCTTTCTTTATTTTATTATTGTTTATCTTTGATTTGTTACTCTCTTTATTTGTCCTTATGCTATACTTTTACCAGTCTTCTGAGTGCATCAGTTGGCTGGGCTGAGGGACCATTATGGTTTCAGTGATTTAGTTTGCTCTTTCCTTCTCTGGCTGCCATCTTTTGCACTCAGAATATTGCTACAAAAATTGTGTTTGAATTGTTTTTGTAATTCTAATTTGTAATCACCATGATTATATGGTTTCATTGTCATATTTCTTGAAAGTGCTGAATAAATAATAAATAAAGATCCATTGGATATGGACTCAAGTGTAAACATGGATTCAATGGGCTGAAGGTCCTGCAACAAGCGAGCAAAGTCCCCGGGCTCAAGCAAAACTGGTCCCGAACTGGTTCTCAGGAAAAAGGAGGGTTAAGATATTTAGAATATTTAGATATTAAGAAACAATTACAATGCAATACAATATTGGCATTTATATAGGGTTCTTACGATAGCTGTATCACAGTTCAATTTTGAAAGAAAATGTTCTTGATCCAATGAAATACCGTGTGAAAATCTGTTTGCATTTACCCCATTCTCCCTCTTAATCTATTTGTCTAATCTCTCCTTATTATCATCTTTTGAAAATAGTTTGGGTGTGAAAATTGTTTTGATAATTCTTGAACTTTTATATTTCATCTATGGAGCTTATTGGAGCTTCTGGCAGGTTATCTAATAAAGTCTCCTACTACAAATGATTGAATTTGAAAGCCATCAAGAATAACTTTACTTCATTGTAGAGTGAACTCAGAAACACCCTAAGAATCTGACTGAATACAATAAAATTATGAGACTAAAGAGAAATAGAAAATAGTTTCCTGTAATAAATCACAAGTGTTTGACAAATACCTCTGAGTGTAGTCTGTCGAGTTCTTCTATTCTTGATGCATTCTCTTTCATTCGCTGCTCTAAGTCAATAATCTTTCAGAGGCAAAACCATGAGCATGCACATCATCATGAGAGAGATGGTGGAATTAAAAACAAATCAAGGAGAAAACTTAGTGGTTAGCAACATTTTATCAGTCACCAAGTGATCAGTACTGCTCTTAATAGGGAAGTTCGCAGGTATCCATCTCGACCCATGTCTCAGTCTCATCCTTTATGTATTACGTGATGTAATTTTCAACCCTATGGTCAAATAAGGGTGACCTTATTTGGCATTCTTGTAAAGAAACAGGGAGAAATCGCACAGCTTTCTTAGATAAGCTCATTACAAATTGTGAAAGAGTGGGATGGGATGAAGAGAATCAATTGGCTCTAGATAAAAAAAAAAATTGGTGGGACAATTGTTTGAGAAGATTATAGGGTCCACTGAACTGCTTTTGGACAGATCCGTATTAATGGGGATTTGTATGCCAGAATCTTCCCTTGGATCGAGAGCAATGCTATTCACCTGGTGGCTGTTGTGTAGTGACCCAGTCACATTGATTGCATAATAATAATACCTCATCGTATTTGTGATCTGCCTCCTCCTGAAGAGCTTTGGATGTTGTGAGTTGGCTCTCAAGGTCTGTGATCTGTAGCATGGCCACCGAGCCAACAACCAAACATCCAACAATGAATGGAACACAGTTTATCACCCCGGTGTGGGGTGGGGTGTGGTGTGGGGTGGGGTGTGGTGTGGGGTATGGTGTGGGGTGGGGTTGGAATAGGTGGTGGTGGATGTAACATTGAGACAAGGTACGTATCACATGGACGATACAGGAATGGGAGAGTGGGGGAATATAGCGGGATGTGGCAGACAATGTTGTAAACAAATCATAGAGATGTGAACAGAAGGCATAGGCACAGAAGGCATATAGAATGGATACATGACAATGAGGCAACAGGAAGCACAAAATGTATAGATTTGAAACAAATACATGAAGGAGGTGGAGAGAAAAGAATAAATTTCAGTGAAAAGAGGTGAAATAATATTAAAGAAGAGTTATCAAGAATTTAAACAAGAGCTTAGCAATCTTTTATGTCAAAATAAAAACAAAAATCATATTGAGTTTAATCTCTTCAGAATTAAAAGAGAGCTACATCTACATGTTTATTATTCTCCTTATTTTTTTATCCCTCATAATCTACTTCTTCAATAAAGATGTAAAAGCAAGTAGATTTAGTCCAGCAAAAAATACCTTTAATCTAAGTTCCAGTTCTATTTGTAAATGTACATAACGATATTAGAAAAAAATTCAAAAAGTGCATTATTCTGCATATTAGTGTGTTATTATGTAATTAGTATTACTAACAAAATGAAATGTGAATGCATGCACGTACTGAGAATCAAAAGGTTGTTGCATAACAGCAAGATGTTCATGGATATGTTGTAAAATGTATAATCACTTGAATAATTATAACATGTCACATCTATTTAAAATATGATTTTTTTTTTCATTCTTTTCAAGTTCTAATTATTAAATAATAATTTTTAAATTCTTAACATCTGAGGCAAATTTTTTTTTTAAATCATTTAAATAATTTATATTTGGATATTTTTCTCCTTTTGGTTGGAAACTAAAATTGTTTACAACAACAACTATCAAAGGTACATGTACCCTTAAAAAGTTAAACAAAAAGAATTAATTAGGATAAAACAGGAGTAGTTCAGGCAAAGTTAGATTTTTAAAAAGACACATAAAGAGTTACAGACAATACATACATAGGTAAACAAGTATTAAAGAGGACAGGGAAAAGATCAGACAGACAGACATGCAATATGGTTTGGAAAATAAATGAATTATTTCTCAAAAGTGAAGGGTGTTAATATATGGATGGACTGGTCAAGATGGATGGGTCAAGATGGACAGACACAAAGAGGGAAAGGGATGCAAGGATGTAGGATGGCAACCTCAGGGGGACATGCTACGGATCACATCAAATTGACCATCCAATTTACTGCACACACAGATACTTCACAAATGTTTTTAAAAACTTTTGTTAATAATGAATTCTTGGGTCAGTGATGGATTTTTCATTTTCTTCCAGTCAATGAACACTCCCATGCTGTACACACGTAATTCTGAATTTATCAATGACATCACAACTATAAATCATGCCTTCTCTATTCCGATCAATTCTGACTGCACACATGAAGACATTCATTAATTTCATATTAGAATACACATTTTCATGCTATGAAACACAGTTAACCTTTTTAATGAATCTGAACTATCCTAGCATAGTACTTTAATATTTCAACCCCATTCACTACATTGAACTTAATCTTTTAAGTCTGTTTTTATATAAAAAAGTATTTCTAAATTTCACAGCAAAAAAAAGACATTACAAGTACTTTATTTTGCAATTCCCCTAGTACTTTTATTCACCCATTTTTATCATGAATAAAATAATTTCACAATTTGCATGAAACCAATTGACTTGTATTGTAGAAGGCTATTTCTGGGTAAATTACATTCTTTCTTTTTTTCTGTTTTATACTCACTTTGTCGTCATCAGAGGCGCTGCGTGTCTCCAGTACTTTCCTTGCTCTGAAAAGATACAAGTAAACGGTAAATAAATAACGAGAAAGGGAAGTTTGGAGTTTTATATCCTTCTAATGCTAGGATGAATTAGAGAAATTAAAAAAAGTAATATTCCATGTAAGTGTGCACTGAACATAAAGCAATAAAAATAAGGTTTGTTAATACAGACATAAACTATATTTCATGCCACATGGGTATAATTTTAATAGATGTAGATGCCATGAACTTTGCTGTACTATTGAAAGCATGAAAGGTCATATATTGCTCCTATCTGGGGCTGATTTAAACTGCTCTGGCCTCCTGCTAGCATTGTTTTTACATGTAAGTACATGCTATGATATGTCTTACATTCAGCCTGTACACCCTCAACTATACAAATTAAGTTCTCCCAACATTGCTCATAAAAATAAGCAATGACTGATGACAAAATGTATAGACATTTACTTTGTACATATGTATTTCATGTATTCATGTAGTTATTATTGTAGTATACCAGAGGAACCATTTTGATATGACCAAATGACATCCAAAAATGTTTCTTAAGTTTATGTACACGTATGAGTAAATAGATCTGAAATGTATACCCCGTACTATGTCAAAAATAATTTTAAATGAACAGAGAAAAAAAACACATGTATAATTATTTTCTTCTTATTTCAAACCAGTAGACACTAGACAGTTGTGTAGATGAAACAGGTGCATATTACAAACGTCTGTTCATCTCTGACCCTGGCAATGATTTGTCAAGAGGATGTAATTTCCTTTCTATTCAAGCAAACAATATGAGCATTCGTGTCTGCCTAACCCGAAGCAAGACACACACAGCTTAGTTTAAAGTGAAGGGAAGACTTTATTTAGGCATGTAGTTAAAGGGGAAGTCCACCCTGATATTGAGTTGGTTTTAATAGAAGCAGAGAAACAAGAGAACAGGTCACTGAATTTTTTAGCATAAATAATTGCATCTGAGCTTTGATAATTGCTCATCCCATCTCTTTATTATTTTTCAAATCACAGGCTGTCCAAATATAGCTGGTGCAAATATTAGCATGCTGAGTAGAGGCTTGACTGAACATAATACGCTGCGTATGCATCAAGACAGTCTAAGAGGCACTTGTATAGATAGGACAGGCTGCAGCAGAAAGATGCTGTTTTATTAGTTAGTGACTTTAGGAACAATGTTCAAAATTAAATTATATCAACATTCATATAAACATGAGTTTAATGTGACACATACAGTATCTCAAATCCAACCCAATTGCCAATAGTCAACTTCATGTTAATTACAACAATAAATTCTGAAAGGACACGCATAAACACCTTAATATAAGAGGGCTTATCAATGCGTGCAGACATGATTCTACTTCAGGATGACTGAACACCAGCTTTGACATGCTATGTCAATGCACTTCCTCAATTAAAATTTCAAGAGACCTGTAGCCTGTAGGCTGTACAGTCAGAAGAACTAAATGGTATTTATTCTGGGTTCACCTCTACTTGGGAAATTCTAATCGATCTGACTGCTCAAATAATTACTTAATGATATGTCCAAATTCCAAAGGATCACATGTGAATATATTACCTTACAGACGAACATTTACATGTCTTTCGTGATACACAAATGTTAGTATACATCATGTACATGTACATGAGCAGACATATGTTGAATTAAAAAAAGTCAAACTAGGTGCTGTACAAGCAATATCGAAGCGTTTTAAAATTGCAATGTAGTGAGTCATCACAGACATGTGGACATAAGGCCATACACAGTTACACACAAAGAGAACTACAGTATGTACTCATTGTAGTAAAAGGCCTCGTTATCATCAGTTATGTCAATGAAAAACCTTCACACTTTGTATTCTTCAATGCATGACTAGAATCACACTCAAGGTAAGTATCACTATCAAAGGTCACAAGCAATTCTGATCACTACATGTAGCCTACACATGTGCATGTATACATGTAGTACCACATGAAATGAAATGAAACTATAGTGAAATGCCATAGGCATGGAAGTGTTAAATCATGGGGGTATATAATCTAAACCGCCTTGGACTTTTGTATAGCCATAGGTCGGGTGTACACCTGAATACCAGGTAACATTATTGTGGATTATACATTCAAGCTATACAGAAATCATTATTTACGTGATTAGTACACTATAATTTCTTTGTCCCATCTTTTAAAGCAGGCTATTAACAAACAACATCTGATAACCCAAAACAGTTTAAAAAAACACAATAACAAATATTATACGTGTGATTATACATGTATGTATCATGTACATGTATTATCCTAGATCTCCTTAGATTCCTTGGTCCATAGATAGCACTACATGAAAACCTTGGTGTGTATATTAAAACTAACACCTTGTAAGATTGCTAGTGTTTGGACTTGTTATATTAAATCCAATTTTTTTTCCCCCACAGCAATATTCCTCACCATAAGCTACATGTAGGTGGGGTTTATGATTATATTAGCCTGCTACCACCCAGCCAAACCTCCCTTAATATTCTAATGAAAAAATTTCACAGCAGCGTAAATTGGTCGGCTGAGGGATACTGCAGGTTTCACCTCCTCTGTGCCGTAAACACTCCATAATGATATGATCCCAGGCAATATCACACAGCTCTCGAGGCCATACCGGCCACTATTTACCAGAGAACATAGCTAGCATACACATTTGCACACACACTCAATGAATGAATGCCAGCTAGCCAAAGACATTCTTTCCATTATGGTTTTCATTAATCATTGTGGGAGTATGTGTCATCAAATCTCACGGTAAGCTAATTGGCATAGACTATGATTATATATACTGTAGAACTCAAATGTCATAATTATAGCCAACAGATTTGTGATCTCACTTACATGTATAATAAAGTCAAATAGAGCCTATTGATAATAAATTTATAATCCCTTTACAGAACCTTCACCTATACAGCTACAGTCCAGACAGCTATGGATGTGATATATACAATCAATCAAGGAAAGGCATAGACATGTTTGCACATCTACACTGAGCCTACTTGCATAAAACCATGAACCTAATACAAATCCCTACCATGTCCCTACTGACTGTGGTCTCAGATTTCACACCTGAAAGGCTGTGTTTGATTAGCCATTAAGTGCAATGTTTCTAGACGATGTTGCTCCACATTATATGCATCAAGAGGCACACACAAATACATATCGGCCTACACTGCTGTAAACACAGGTATATATCCCAAGCACTGAACCAAAGTATCAAGACAGTAAACTACAACTTGACCTGCGCGACCTATGACCCCTCAAGTAATCAATCTGTCAGGTGACCAGATAACAACAGCTTCAGTTTCACCACCCAATGAAGATAAGTTTCGTATGCAGGCAGGCAGGCAGTTGAAAAATATTCTTTTCTATAAATAACTTCAAGCCAGCTTGGCTGTCAAAAGATGACAATGGATTTGAGATATGGGTGGACCTTCATGGTTTTATGTCAGAATTATTTTCAATCAAAAAGTGCAATGATGCAAAGAAGTACATTTTACTGTATGAGGAATTGTCATGTGTACAGTACAGCCCTTCACATCTAATCCGATCATGTTCTTTGTACATGTACATGTATCTGTGAATTTTTACCTGTTCCACTAGTTCACTTAAATATTCTTTGCAGACATGTGCATGTTTTAACCTTGTACAGGTCTAGCCTCACAATGTGAAGGAAATCAAATTTGTTTACACCCACGTACTTCATAATATGCAAATACCAGGAAGTTATCCTTTAATAAATTATGGAAAATAAATAAGGAGTAAGCTTACAGACTTCCCCATTTTTGCTTTCTAAAGGCTTGTTCAGATATGGTCATGTTTTTTGATAATGAGTTGAGGACTTTGAGTATTCACCAAGATACTAATAAGATTCAGAAATGTGAAGTGTACTACACAAGTGTACTACATTTTGTGTCATCATAAAAACTAAATGCTGTGGTTTTGCCTTGTGATTTCTGAATGAGCATCACGAGTGCCCTTTAAATATCACACTTGTACCTGTATGTTTATTTACAGGGCATACTTGTGACACTTCAGTAAACACTCATAAATGAATTGTGAACAACAATTAAATCTATAGTATTTAAGACTTGTATATTCTAGCTTTTCTGATCATCAAGGTTATCATCTAGAATTTTGTATTGAACCTTATACTGTATACATACGGAAGCCCACAGGAGAGGAGAGAGGAGAGGAGAGAGGAAGAGCAGGTGAATTTAGATTTGATCCAATTGATATGTGAATGAATGGTATACTGTAAGGATTAGACAGGCCAACTGTAAACTGCTAACTAAATAGAGCCTCTTATGGCATGGTCAATGCACACATGAATCTGCATACATTGGGCCAGGCGCTGTATTGATAATACCACTCCCCTTCTTTCAATGGCTTCACTCTGTTATCTGTGAAACGTGTGTGGTATAGAAGACGAGGTATCACCCTCTGCGACTGTGCCTTACTGACTCACTCACTCATACAAAGGCAAGAGTAATCATTCTACGCTTCACATTTATATCCATTAGGAATTAATGAGACCTGTCTATAAACATGTACATGTAGAAGCATAATGAATGCACATGAAAAACACACATACTGTACATAATTATATGTCTACCCTGCATCCTTCATGACTGCAAAGAACATTTCTGGAGTTTCTGGTACATCATAAAGTTCTATAGAGTAACTACTTGTCTACTCTACAAAAGTATATGTATGCAATTTGTTGAAGAAAAAAAAGGTATGGTAGGATTTCAACTCATGATAATATTTCTGTGTATACGTACAATGTTTGGTACCCTATGCCTTTGATCTTAAAAAACAAAACAAATCCTCATGGTGCCTGGTCACTGGGATACATTGCTTCTACCTTCAAGGAATTTACTGGCAGTTTTAATTCTCGCCATGATTGTGTCTCCATATTTGCATACAAAATTACATCAGCTTAAGAGTATGTAAACACTGCAGGTAGGGTCAGATAGTATCAAGGTAATCACACAAGTGAACATTCCTAAGCGTAACTGTGTAGCTGTAAAATTTGATAAATAACGCTATGCAAACTTGCAAACCCACCCATTGCCCATCAAGTATGTTATGCTTTAATACACTAAACAATTCATATCAATTGTTTATATGTTGTCTGCATTTCCACAAATTTTGAAATTAGTGATATCATTTCATGCGCAATAAATTGTATTGTAGCTTATAACTTGACAACTATGAATGCTAAAGCAATACTGTATCGTTGACTTCCCCATTGGCTTACATGTAAATGTAAGCTGATTCTTGATGCAACCAAAATATTTTCAAGCTTCATAATCATAATTAATACGCACCTTAAGTTCTCATCTGCTTCTACCTCAATGGTTTCTAGCCTTCTCCTTGTGTCTGATAATGCCTCTTCTTGTTTGCCATTGTCTTCTTCAAGGAGGATGAGTTTACTGTTAAGATTCTTCACCTCTGCTTCTGCCTGTATTACATAAAGAGAGTTTGCAAGAACATACTATGATCAATAAAGTATCTGGAATGAGCAACATAATAAATGGTTTAAATACGATTTTATTAATGTTATACATTTGTTCAACAAACTGAAATTGTAGCACTTCACAAAGTAAAATCATTTGAGGAGGCATGTGGTACAGTGGTAGAGCAGTGGTCTCTTAATCATGATGTCCAAGGTTCAAAACCAGCCTCATGCACTAGTGGCCTTTGGTAAGGAATTAATCCTCATTACCAAATCCCTATGAAAGACTTAAAACTTGAGGGTCCTCTGGTTGCTTACCCACAAGCATACTTGCTTTTATTCAATCGTAAATTGAGGTAAGGATATGAGGAAACAAATATTTCCAGCATGACTGAAACTATATTAAAAGTAGAGGACAGCTAATGATTGGATTCACATTATATTTCTCCTCTTGACACCACGAGTGATCAATCTCCTAAAAGAAAAATAGTTTGTTTACAGGTTTTACCCCTGGTTCTACATCAACAAAAATTAATAATTATAAAATGGAGCTAAGAGTGTTTTCTGATTTGCTCTTCCCCCTTACCCCTGTAAATAAATACAATGAATAAAACGAGACAAGAAAGGAAGAGGAAGAAAGAATACAAAGATTCATGTACGATATAAGTTTCTGCCAGTGGAAAGTTAAGTATATTATTGCTGGATGTGATACTTTGATTTGTGTACATGTACATTATACATTTACTTTACCCTGCTGTTTATGAGACTTACCACACAAATCTCCTTTTTAAAGTAATTTTGTCTTTGATATTCAAAGTTCTAAAGGCATGTCTGGTCTTTAAATAACATTGTGGAATAATGACAAATGTATGAAATATGCAAGCTATCTTTGTGATCTGTGAACAGAACTACACTGTTCACTTATACCCAATCCCTTGCAGCAAAAGGTCAAATGAGGACATTATTCACCATTCTATCATGATGGAAAAAGGGACAAAGTTGTGAAACCACATGTAGAATATTTCAAATTCCAGGAGACAGAAGTTTCGCTCTGCAGCTCTAGGCTGTGCCAACATTACTTTGCACTAGTGACCTAAAAATCTGGTTTTAGTTTTGGTTTAATTTTAAACTGTCACCTGGTCACTGGGTTTCCTAGTTTCCTTCCAAAGGTCATGTAAAAGTCATTGTCTGAATTTACTGTCAAGATCAGGAAGATGTCGATATCTAAAATCAACATGTTCATGTTATTTAGTCATTGTGAACTTTCACTGCAATCACCTCTTGACTTTTTAACAAGTCAGTGGTTTTCCCTAGCTTTTCTTCCCAAATACATTTACCAAACTAAGCATTACTACCGGTATACTGTAAACATTTTATCATAATTAGGCCCTTCTACAATGTACATTTATATAAGCATACTTTGCATGGAATGAAATCAAAGATTTGTTATGATCCTTTTATGATCTTTTAGATATGATTAAATAATCATAATAATAATAAATTGTGATGATACAGCATAGAATGAATACATACATGTATACTGATACAATTAAAGCATGATGTAAAGTTGGAAACCAAAAATATCAACTAAAAATAAATACTACAGTTGATAGTGCTTCATGATGTAGTTTGTGTACTGTACATGTGGGGCCACGGATACAATGTAAATGTATGCACTGTATTGATGTGTCAAACATATTCAGTATAAGTGAAGTACAGTTTCTTAGAAGAATCTTCCAAAGTACAATTTGTTCTAAACTCAAGATGCTACTACACCTAAGCAATGAAAACCTGTCAAGCATTCATATCTTGAGGCTTGAAGTTTGATACTTGTTCTAAATTACTTCACACCACAGATATCCTTGGTTGTATGTCATTGCTGAAGATGACCATATGGGGCCAATTTATTTCAACCCCACAGCTTCAGTGTCAAGTGTATCAGTTTTCACATCTCATGAATTTAATTCATATCTTAGTAAAGAACCAAATTTCTTGGCTACTAATATGAAAATGAATGATAAGTTCTCATTCAAATATTACACTTGAACAAATTTGAATGCTCAAAATAATTGATAACATTAAATTTGCTAAAAACCTACACAAAATGTACATGTATATGTGTATTTTTATGTAGGATTTGTTAAATGAAACTAATTGCATAAAATCTTTAGGAATGACCTTCTAGCAAACATAGAAATACTTCATTGGAAAATATGGGGTCGATATGGCCTGTCAGGAACAAACTCCTATGAACTTTGACACCAGACCAATAAAATGAAATACACTGTCACCCTTGACAGTCACCCCATGAGTTTCGAAACACCCATGCAGCATGCAATGCTGGATTGTCTTCAAGTTCAAAGCTGTCCTACTAGCCCATATTTACACAAAATGCGCTTTCTACATCTATGCTTCATTTATTCTTGAATCCATATCTTCAATGCACAACCTTGGTTGTTGGTACCAGGATGTATTATGAATCAATGCATCATGAATAAAATAACAATCCAGACTTATATATGTTTTTGTTGATGGTACATTCTTAACCAATACATTTAACTTTTGAACAATGGATTGTGTTGAATATGAAAAGAAATACCATATTTCAATCAATATGGAAGCCCATTTTCCCCAGTAAGAAATTAAAAAGGGCCCATGAAGGTATAATTTCTCTAGAAAAAGTATGGTCCAAAGGTTGTTTCAAGGCACTCTGAAGCCATTATAAATCAAACACTTGTTTCCTGTCCTCTGATAAAGGAATTGGCTCGCCTTGGAGGGAAAAAAGTTTGCCAGAGTCAACAAAAGGTTTTTGGTATAATGGGGTCAATTCAGAAACCCAAGCTATTTAAATGCATGGATGCCACTTGAATACAATCTTTGTCATGCCAAGGAGACAAGAAATTTGTTCTGGAGGTTGATAAAATTGTCACTACATGCTAATAATGTGTAGGCAAAGGCATCCTATTCAAAATACCGGTAAACTGTAATAAATTTATATGCCCACAAATTAGATCAATAGGCATGGCAAATTGATGGACTTTCAAGAAACCAACCCAAGGAAAATTTTAAATTGCTTATAAATAGAAATATGACTCAATTATGTCACTGTCATGTTTGCATACATGTATTTCAACAGGTGATGCAGAATGCTTTGAAATTGCCCTACATGCATACAGTATATACTACATGTACATGTGAGCATTTTGAAAGTCTTCATGGTCAACTTGACTATATACCGTAAAGCCTTTATAAATTCAAGTCTCTGGATTAAAGCAATGGTCCCTTGGTGACTGCAATAGTGCCGTTTTGCAGTCACCTTGGGCCCATAGTTTGAACCAGAACCTCTCAGGACAGTGTATTTTTTTGTATAATATAACCAAGATATGTAGGAAAATTGTGATATAAATCCCTTCATAGTTATATGAGGTAGGAATGAGGATACTGATTGGAATTTTAAAATTATAGACCACTAAAATAAATCTGTCATTTGTTGATTCTATTTGCTATAGACCACTCCGGGGACCAAACCTATGTACAGGGCTCAACACTAAAAGGTGCTTGGGACACAAGGGCATCCACAATAAATAACCGAACCCCCCCCCCCCCCCCCCCCAAAGTTGTTATAATTTTAACATCAAGCTCGTGCATTCTAGACAAACTCCCAAAATAGTTGGTGTGGGGCCCTGCTCATCTAATTTCCAAGTCGAAAATGAATGTTCAATAATTGTTTTCCCCTTCTCATGTACATGTATGATCTACCCTGGACCTACATGTAGCCGGGCTATGCAGATGTATCATGTACAGTAAGTACAAGCTTAATTTAAAACAAGTTGCAGCTCTACTATTGGTGATATATCCTTGAGGGCTATGTGATATAAATATCACATTTTACATTATCACTTAGCCCTTAAGGCCAAGATGATATAGATGTAAATCGAAACCTGATAATAATCAGCAAAACTTCGCATATTGCGAAGTTGACTTGCAGAAAAAATAATGACCCCCACAACGTCAATAACGAATGATTTGAAGTCATTTACAATGCCCATGTAAAATTTGTTTAACAAAATCAATGAGTCTATTACCTTTACTTTACCTTTACCGCAAATACTGGAAGAATGCTGAGACAGCAGTCGAGCTTCCAGGTCTATCTTCTGGGTCTATCTTCTTGTACTAATACTCTTTAATAATAATTCTCATTATATGCCATTACTATTAGCTAATAGCTACGCAGCATTCCTGTACTGTAGTGCTGTACAGCGTTCCTATCTTCTCTGGCTCCCTATTTCTTAATCAGACAATTTTATATTCTTGTATTGTAATGCCCACCCATACAATTATGTAGCTCATCAAAACACCAATGCAAAGTTACGCACATGTAATACTAATAACTGAATGCAAATCTTCATTTTGTAGCCGACTAATCGATCACCCCTGAATAGTTTGGCACAATGTAAGCGTCACATTGCACATATTTTCAGGGTGCGTAGCTTATGCCTTGGCCAAAAATATTGCGTGTAGAATCTATACGATACTCGATAGAAGAAAACTTAAAACAAAACGCCTCAGAGTCTGACTTTACAGCATGCCATGAGGCACGCACCTTGAATCACATCAGCCTCTACTATATTTCTGGGGACCTAGGGTCTAGGGGTAGTACTTCATACAGAACTGTACTTGATGGTACTGCCGGGCTGGCTGTCACTGGCACTGGGTTTTGGAAACCACTCATTCATCAGCACTTATGATGCATATATTATAGACTTGATGCAATGAAGCGATACCGTAGTGTGAGGAACAAATGGTAGTTTTCATGATAATGCCTTCAATTTTGTAGCAGGACTTGGCGTCTCCACCGTTAGCCAACATGAACAAATAAAATACTAAGTTGACTTCAGCTATCATAGCATCAGTATCACACATGCATGCACTGCACTGACTGTACTGCCAGGCGTTGGGCCCATCCCACATAAAAAACACCAATACAGTTTTGTACAGTTAGCCGCCTACCGGCCATTTCTTCTACTTACCGCGTCTGCACGATCTCGTTCATCTCTCAACTTCTTTTCTAACTCTAACTTCTTTTCTAATGACTCGTCAAGCGACAACCTGAGCGATGCCATCTTTTTCCTAATCGCCTCCATTTCGATTTGTATGTGTCCCTTTGATTCTTCTGTGAAATATATCCCCAAAATACTACTTTCAGACGCTCTCGTTTCGGCAACCACTTGTCAGAACGCGTCGGCAAGATTCAAAGCTATCGTTATAATGCTAAGTATCGAAACCTGTTATCGATGTGTGGTAAAGGTATATCGCATAGTCTCTCATTGATTTTCCATCTACTTTTGGTCTAATTTTCGCCTTTTCGCCCTAATTAAAGCATGAATTTCAATCCTTCTGACAAATCATTAGCATGGTATCAAGTTATCTACATATTCAAACAATTATTGTCGAATTATTGGCTAAAACTTGTAAAACCCGAATATAATTACTTCCTGAGAAAGATCACGTGATCTCTCCCATACAAAGTTTGGGTCATTACATTTATGAACTTCACTCCCTATGGACAGTTTGAATAATCTAAATTGCGTATAGGCATGAATTTTCTGTTAAATTTTTGGGAATAATGTTGGTTATGGGAACATATCTCTCTCTCTCTCTCTCTCTCTCACTAAATTATCTAGCCTGTTTTGTAATATTTCTTTAAATCCGTAAAACTTGTTATGTTTAACAGTACATAAACGACAATAGAACAGACTTAGGTTTAAGTCTTATGGAGAACAATATTCGAATTTAGAGAACTAGAGAGATGGGGACACCAGACTATGAACCAAAAGGCTTGGGATTCAACCCCCTGCCACATTTTTATAATATAACGTCCTTTGGCAAAACATTAATATAATTTGTCACACTCCAACATGCCCAGGTGAGGTGGGTAGTGAAATGAATCAATTTCTTTAATTGCTATTCTGACAGACATGGCCACTGGCCAGACAAGAACCCACCATTGCACCACTATTATTATTATTATTATTACTAGAGGGAGTAGTAGTAGTAGTAGTAGTAGGCCTGGTAGTAGTAGGCGTTGTAGTAGTGTAGCAGGAGTGTACTATAGCAGAAAGTAGTAGTATTATAATAGTGTTCTTATATTCAACAAGACTTTATAGGGCCTAATCATAGTGGGTTTTAGTAAAGCGCCCAAGTCTGTCAGAATTGGCACTCCTGGCTGCCACGATTATTACCCCCGGCAATATCATCCTTTCATGTCGAAATCGAGATTATTCTGATTTTTTTAAACATTAAAACTATAAAAGACCAAAAATAAGCTATAGTAACTGGATTCATATAAAAGAAACTGCGATGTATGCCATGGATGAGGGACAAAATACTGACATCTACCAATCAGGAATACTCATTATTATTGTAAGTCTTTTACAATGAACTGGAAAGGGAATGGCTAAATAATCACGGGACCGAATATTAAATTAAAATACCACCGTGATAACGGGGGCCAGGAAATTGAGGGTTGGATGTTGTATGGAAACAAAATACAGACGTGTTCGGGGTATACCGGAAATAAACATGATAAAAATTATTACAAAGTGGTGAACAAAATAAATAGAGATTGATTATTGTACTATCAAATCATGGAGATATCTCTTTTTATATCTTCATGATCAAATCAAGAATATACGAGATACACGGGCTTTATGCACTGGTTCGCATTAGGCTAGTAGATTCTCCGAGTTATTTTGGGCGCGTGCTTCGAATGATTATCAGCAGGATATATGAATAGATGTTCATCCATGATTGGCTGTGATGAACATTGTACGAGAGACAAGAAACTATTAAAACTATCCGGGCATGCGCGTAGTGCTCAAGCTACAATAGGCCTATATCTAGAATGTGCGCGCGTGCCGGTGAGCCCGTCGTTGGCGCGCCCGAGCTGGCCCCGAGTTCAAGTCCAAGTGGTTACCGAAAGAGCGATCCATCTTGATTAATGTATGGTATCCGAAAGTGAAAGAAGCTTAAATCCAGGAAAGCTGATGTTTGGCAGTGATAATCCAACAACTGAATGTCTCTCCGTTATAAAGTCACAGTGTAGACGAGTACTGAGGCGCTAAAAGCTAATAACACGGCTAGCTGGAGAGGAATTAATCAATGAGAGATGCCTCGGTCTGGTAGAGGGAGTGAACTCGGTTCGGCGCACAGCCAGACATTCCAGGCATGTCATTCCATATTCGGTGCGATGACGTAGTATCAGGGTGTGCCCTCTAGAGTGGACAGAGGAGTATCGTTTGACTTGATCGGGAGATGAAAGCAGAGAAGAGAGGTTGGGCCGTCGAGGAGAAAATATTATTGATGGGTATAATGTCTCAAGAGGTCATTGTCATAGCTATAGTTCAAAGCGAGTGAAGATTCCACTAAATACAACGAAAGAAAAACTGATTGAATATACTAGTAACCCCGGCTGCAGCAACTTTGAGAAATATACTTCATCAATGGGAATCTTGCAAGCCGATCCTTTCCTTCACAGTGACCCACATCATTATAATACAGATGTCATCCCCATCTGAATAGTTGATGAGGCTCAATCCAGTGAGTCACGACTAGAATGGATAACTTTCGCTTCAAAGTAATGTTAAAAAGCGCTATCAAACAGTTGCTTATCTCCTTCATTTTCAATCAAATTTACGGACGCTAAACCTAGGAGTTAAATAGCTGGGTTTAATATGCAACACTCGTAGACCTACTCAAACATCAAGCCTACGAAGCTATACTAAAGTGGGTCCCAAAGTATTTTATACTTCGTAATATAAAATTTATTTTCAAAAACATGAATGAATAGTCGATACATGTTGACCGCAGAAAACTACAAAGTAGTCATGTTTGATTAGCATTCTCCTTCCTCTTTGTTTTCATAGTCTGGAATCGACCCTGAGTTCACATCTAATCAATAGGATATTTTTTATTAAGATCCCGGGCTTTATCGATCGGCGTCATTGTCATTTTACACGGCCAATATAATTCTCTATCTCACAATACACATAGGCTAAAATTTCAGACATTAAACATACTATGTATACCAATAGTAAAACTAACCTATCTGATCTTATTATACACAATCAGGTTGCCAATAAACAAGAATGATTATGTTACGTGTCTGACACTAAGTTATAAATTATTTGGTTGTAAGTAGAATCATTGGGCTTAGGCCTATGTGTTGTAGAAATATCATTCCAAACCAATGATTCGGAGGCCAATATAGATTCACAACTTAATTTTGTAACACTCCATCAAATTGTAATCCTATGATACGTAAACGTATTACAAGCCCTTAGATGACAGGGGCATATTCGGTGCCTGTGCCCCATGCCCGCTCCTACCCCGACAAACCCTTTACAATAATGTAAGCATAAAAATATTTTTAAAAGTACAATAATTAGATTGTTTACATGCGCCCCGTTCACTTCTAACATTCTTAATAAGGAAAATAAAAAACTAAGGTGATCAATGATCAAGCACCCAAGATGGCGCTGTCTGTGTCGACCGACCCGAGTCATACACAATTTGGCCAACCCAATAGCCATTCGGTCGATTTAAGTCAAGAAACATATTTTTTATAGCTAAATTAATATATTTACCTTGAGAGGGAGCTATACAACATAAACAGTTTATGTTTACAATTTCATCACTTTAGACTCGATTTCAATCGCGCCAACGATCACTGAATATTGTAGGATCGCATATTCTTCCAATATGTTCATTTGAACCAAATTCATGACCCTATACCAAAACTTTGTATGCGAATCCGCCCATCACAGTGCACACGCTCCGCTCCCTGGGGAACATTCCGACCAGGCACGATTTTTCGAGAGCACACAAGTCATGTCCAACTAGATCTACTTCATTCGATATGAATTACATGTAACTATATGGAAATTCATACAGAATTATACTTCTTTTACGATATAATTCAGTTGTAACATTCACAGTTGTAATATCCTTTAATAAGATTCCGCACTGGACTGACCAAGTGGATGACGGGCTTATTCTCTTATCTTACCATACTGGTTGATGATTAATTCTATTTCACCTCACTACCCCCCCCCCCCCCCATAAATGTATTTCACGCTATCAAGTATCAAGTTTATTTGTCTTCCATGAATCACAATGTAACAAAATATAATAGAGTATAATCATAACAGTACAATGTAGAATAAAGAATGACGAGACCCCTCAGATTATGTGACAAAGATAACTGATTCATTAATACAACAACAAGTAATATATGTAATTGCTTCTAGGTACGCAACCAGAGGGCCTACAGATTTAAGTTCTACCCGAGAAAATTGTTAATGAGGATTAATGACTAACAAATGGGATTAGCGCAATATTCTTGGTTTCAACCTTGACCACCCAGTCATTGCTCTACCACTGTGCCATCGTGCCTCTTTCTGAAATAATGACCTGTTTAGGAGATGGCAACATTGTTGCACTATGTGGGGGATCTCAGATAAAACCTGGACAAGGTAACAGAGTGTTTATAACGTAGAGGGCGTGATAGAAACTGTTCATGTCTAAAGAGTGTACTTACGACTCCCTGTGCCTTCTCAGCTTCATCAAAAGCAGCCTGTGTCTCGCTCAATTTGTCGGTGGTGGAATCGAGCTCAAGCTCGACCTGCTTGATTCGGTCGTCGCGTTCCTTGATGGTGTCGTTCAACTGCAAAGATATAGAGAGAGGAAAACAAATTGAGCATATTTATGAAGGATAACAAGATAGATTTCTACATTTCTTGGCAGCAAGGGGGGGGGGGGGCAGATGATGATCATTGTGACAAATATATGTATCATTGTAACTTCTGTGGTTGAGATGATAAACGCGTTGCAGTGTTAAATAAATTGTGCAATGATAATTATGTAGGTCCGGTAGTCTCCTTTCAGCTAACTGGACTGCTGCAGCGCAAACGTAGCTCGCTCGACGTCACTTACAACCTAGCCAAACAAGTTGACATTGACATATATTTTGTGAAACTATCGCTGAGAAGTTTTCTTTTTGAATGAAAACGCAACCATTGTGATCAGGAAATGCCATGAAGTCCTCAAGATCGGATAAGTTTCGTCTTATATTAATCATGAGGTGCCTTTTGCAGATAAATTCTCAATTTCTTAGATGTTCCAATGTATTGTCGGGGTATGGTATTGGATGTGATGTGGCGCGCAATGACGCGAATTATACTTTTGGGAGATGCAGTCCCATTTTAAAACAATAATTTATGTTGATAATGAAACAGTTTGTAAAATGAACCTACCAAACTTTGAAATACAATGAAATAATAAGCCTTGATGATAATTAGTGGAGTTTGAAGTGGTGTTTGAATGCACCCCTCATACATTTTGCTTCTTTCGGCAAAATTCTTGCCAATCTTAAATGAGAAAAGTACGGTGGGGTTGTCAGATACAGCCCAAATTAATCAACTAGAAATTATCTATGATAACTAGTGCTTCACGTGTGATTGACCTACAACCTTACATAATTATAATATCATTCCATTGGTGTGACAAATATAACACATGGCTTGGCTTATCCCATTATTACACGCGATGTTCAATGTTTTTAGTATCACCTCAAGTCACGTTGATTCGAGTCATCTCATGTTTCAATTGAACTACCAAATTGAAAAATGAGATGACTCGATTCAACGTGACGGAATTTGTTTATCCGTGTTTTTTTTTTATCATACAGTCTTATAACACGAAAACTAGGTCAAGAAAATTGGCTTTCAAACTTGATACATAATATGTAAAAATGGGAAATATTTGCCAATAAGAGTGTGCAGTTTATTTCCTCATGTTTTTATCTAAGTCATGACGGCATTAATGTCTCCCGATATTGGAACTCGCCCGAGTTTATCCTAATCCGTATTTGTCATTATCGTCACCATACCCTGAATGTTGGGATTAAAGGTAATCCTAATGTCATCCGTGGATTAATGATGTTCGCAGAAAAGAGAATTTCCTTTCAATAAATATTCCGGATTTCATCACTTTCTTTCCCCCAAAAAACATGCCGGTTCTTGCATCCTACACTGCACTGACACACAGAAAAATGTATTGTTGAAATCACAATTCACTACTTTTAATGTGAATTTATTATGCAATTTTGTTTTGACACTTCTTTCATATATATGTTATTCGATTTCATATGCAACTTGTTAAAGATATACAATTTTTATAACCCGTTATAAGGAAGCTTATTCAATATTACTGAATGTATTGTTACGTTATGGGTATTCAATCAATATCATCGTTATTTTTTCTTCTGCCAAGAGTCCAATCAAAAAGTTATTTGCACGATTATATCAAAATGTGATGTTACTCATAGACGAGGCACCAATGGGAGAATTTAAAAGATCATTTTCATATACTTTTATAAAATACTTTTTCTCGTACAAAACATCTTTCTTGTGTACCCTATATTGCTTTCCTTAGGCAAGTTATTTCGTTTGATATTGAACAATATGACTTAAAGTAAATATAAACACAGCAAGGCTGTTATGTGATCTACATACCACATGATTTTTCTTAAACCATGCCCTTTTTGGACTTGATAGCTTGAATGACGAGAACAGGTTTCACATTACTTTTAAGCAACTCGTCATGGTTTATAGAAATCATTAGTTTTGTCTTATAGGTCAATGAACCCTAAAATATGCGGCCAAACGGGTTGTTCAGCAATCCAAGATCCTGTCAAAAATATCAGTATGAGGTAAGCCTCATTTGCGTCAAACTGGTGTGCGATATCCTGTCTTTTTTAAATACAAGACATTTGATCTGAGTATTACAACCTTCATATAGATTAGACCCACCCCTGCCCTTAAACTATATGTCATTGAATTTGACGATGGCATTGGATTGCAGACAGATGTCTATCGACCCCCCCCCCCCCCATAAGAAAAAAAAACAGAGAATAACACCACTTCTGGCACTCGACCTGCGAAAATATTTCGATCTTCGGGGTGAAATATTTGGACCAAAAATACCTCGCCAGCCGAGAATAGAAGACGGCGGTTTGGGAATTGGAAGAAGACATTGAAACCGCTTGTCAAGACTTTGGTAAATTGGGAAATGGGCTTCCTGTTACTCCAAAGATTTGACATGTTTGACCTGTCTGCCCTTGCTGAAGTATGTCTCATATGGCATAGTTTATAGGGGTCAAAGCAAAGATGCATAGAATGGTGACAAATCATGAAAACATCTTCTGTCTGTCAGGGATTGGGTTGTGTTAGCTTATTGTGGTTGCTTTCCAAATATTGCGTGGCCAATGGTGATCATTACATATTTGAATTTGAATCCATTTGTTTACACAATCCAATAGTCATAAAATCTCTGAAATTAAGCTAATAGTGACATATTTTCTGTCTGGATGATTTAAGCGCAATTAATTAAGACAAATTGGTGTAGGTATGTCGATAGCTGTCCATGGCTCGCCTCTAGAAATACAGGACAGTAGCTATGTGTCAAAGTATATGAGTTAACGCCCTTTCTGCTTTCAGTATATTTATTGTTCCTTTTAAATTATGTTATTTCTTGGAGAAAGTTCACCATTGCCTGACACTATAACAGCAAAATAACGTAGGCCTATATAAAAGATAGAATAAATTTGCATAACACGACTTAGTCCTATTGAAGTTCTATAACCGATAAATAAGTTTCAAGAAAAGGGTAAAGCTGATCACGAGTTTGCTTCTGATTAAAACTGTAAAGCGGAAATCATTTGTAAATTATTTGCTTGTTGTTAGGGTGTGTGTGTGCTTACATGTACTATGTGCACAATATTGCCCTCGGTCTATAATTTTGGTATTCTATGTTGAAGAATAGGTGTTACACAATCGGTTTATTAAATGTGTGTTTGTGTGTGCATGTGTGTGTGTGTATATATATATATATGTATATATATATATATATATATATATATATATAATTATATGTGTTATGAATAGGCCTATATATGCATAGTTTCACTTGTAATCATAAAACAAATCAACTGTGCATTTGGTTAAGTTAGACTGTGTAAACAAAAGCTGCCTTATAAAATCGAACTAAAAGTTTCCAAAATATCTATTAGTATTAAATCGAATATACCAACATTATATTTATCAGATGTTGTGGTATTACAGTGAGATAATAAGTTTTTATCTGATCGTTGGGACTGTTGGGCTTTGCTATCATACATCAAGCCATGTCAATGGTATTATAAGGGCAAGGAATGTTCTATGCATGATCGGAATGCGACGGACGAACTGAGCATGCGCGACGGACAACCATAGCAGTCCGATGAGAAAACTATGGCACCCCATCGAGGCGCACAGGTCTGCTTTGAGTTTAACCGTCGCATTGAATTACCACATATCACTTTCATGTTATATACAACAGACCCATTCATTCAGCTTCTCATTCATTCCTAACAGAAATCAGGATACATGAATGCCAAGATGATTGTAACAGGAGTATAGCGCGAGTATGAAATATTTGCATATCGAAGGCAGAAGGAGAGATGCCTAAATCTTAATGTAGACGAATGATTTCAGAAGATAATTAATATTCCATTGTATTCACAAGATAAGAAGTGGAAGACAGCTTCTCTCTGTTTCAACATCTCCATACGATAGCAACATGTCCCACGGGAGGAAGCAATGGCGCACTGCTCCTCAGTCTATGCTAGCCGCCATTTTGTTTTTGATAGATCATCGTTTCCATTCTTTTGTTTTTCGGGAGATGATGATACCCCTTGGTACATGTAATTACGTTATTCCAGAGTGTGAACACGTTGCGCTTATCTTCTTCTGCTTCTCTATATTTTTCACCATGGTGTTAAACTTTTATCAGGTCTCCGTTACTCCATTCGCCAAGTAATTAACACTGCTTGATGATCCAGAATAGACCTTTGCGGGTTCACGTTCCGTCAGCGTCCATGCAATGCGACGATCATGCAATCATAATCATATCAAAAGCTCGACAAGATCCCAATTATGCGTAGTATCCTGCATGTTGGCATTGATTCATAAATATCTTGATGAGAGAATCATATTATTCAACTTATTTCACGAGAAAGAAATATTGAACAATTTGCTTCATTTAAATTTAGAATGTATTCATGTTCATATTATAACGAAACATCATGCAATAAGACTCGATTTAATTCCACGATCATAAAGAAACTTGTTAACATCGTAATCATCATTGTATTGTTTCATACAGTATTTTATACCAATCAAATAATGGCTAAAATGAGAGTTCCTTTTGGGGGACTGAACACAAGGATTTCGTAAAAGATAAAATTAGAAATTGAAAGAACATATAAGATGAGCTATTCTGTTCAAGGGGGAGGTTTTTAGTTTTCATTTGCCTCGAACATTCGATAGAATATTCTTTTATCATTATGTACGATGCAAAACATCATCACGCATGCGCTGTAAGTACTGCGTTGATGACATTCACATCTGGGGCACTTTCTTGAAAACTGATTAATCAAACGCGTAAGGCGTATACGTTATTTTTATTTTTTCAGTTAAATTTTGAACGTCTGTTCTCTGTAAGGATGCAGGGTATTCCAATTAACGATATAAAGGTTTGCAATACGATTTCTCTATCTCTCTCTTTCTTTTTCACATATATTTTTTTTTCTTTCTGGACATACCTGTTCCTCACGCTCTTTGCTGGTCCTCAAATCAGCCTCAGCCACCTCCTTGGCATCGATAGCCACCTCCTTCTCCGACTTGAGGGACAACATCTTCTTCTTGATGGTCTCCATGGTGATTAGTTAGGTTTTTCCGATTCTTACACGAGAAAAACAACAAGAAGTTTCAAGCTTCCAGCTGAAGTGAACAAAACTTCAGAACTTATTCCAAGACGGTGGGAATGTGGAGAGGGCTAACCGGCCAAGTGACAAGTGCTAGGTTAGAGACAGACTGCTATTCAGTATCACCAACCTGGATTTCACGTAGCGCAACAGGCTAGAGCAGACGACAGGGAGACCGCAAGAGAGCGCGCGCACGTAAAAAGTATAGTCAAAAGTTAAAAACCTTATCAGGAGGCCTTCGCGATCATGTGATATACTCTCGACCAATCGCGTATCTGAATCGCGAGAGGAATTCTAGATGTGGTATTCGGAAGATGACGTAGTGGTGTCGCGTGTGTATGTGTGTGTGTGCGTGTTTGAGAGGGTGCGGACGGGAGAGAGTGAGAGTGTGTATAGATCATGACTGATAGTGATGTCGTGACGATAGACCGTATGATACACTGAGACTGGGCTCCCAGCCAACCTAATATGGAATGGATGAACTGGTGAAGTAAAAAATATATTTTTTAAAGCATAGAGATAGTTTCCAGCGTGTTAATATTATGGTGAAAGTTAGCAGACAATAACCAAAATGTGTCTTTTACACACTTCACACTTGACTGATGCTTGTGATTATATTCATAGTTAAAGGAGCGTGAAGAGGATGTGATACGAGTTGTTTGTAGTGGGGATGGGGAAGTAGGAGAAAGTAAGGATGAAACGGGGCGGGTTGGATGGGAGATGAGAAAAGCAGCATCTCACTGAAGCTATGGGTTGAGAGGAGAGGAGCGAGAGGAGAGGAGGGGAGGGGAGGGACGAGCGAATTGAGGAGCTATGATTAGGGTCATGAAGAGTAGCTTTTGACATTTAGAGTTATTGCGTATGCTTATATACAAGGGTACTCACGGAAATGATGTATATACCAGCCATCAAAAATAAGATAACGTCATAACAAGCAGGTCACATACTACTTGTTTGCACTCGACAAACCCTGCTATAGAATGATATCCATCGTTCTTTCTTACATGCATTCTTTAACCATTTTCTCATTCAAGATAACATTTAATTATTTTTTTATAAATAAAATAATATATGATAGATTTAATTTGTACAGAACAGCCACTGCATTCAACCAAAATGACCTGGCTAAATTAGAGTCAGAGAATGAAATACCCCAATATTCATGCTCTCATAATGACCCTGTCAAACTAACAATAAGAAACAAATCGTCAAATCATTTTACACAATCATGCAGAGTTGATGCTCTGAATTCCGGCTCCAAACAGCTGAAAAAAGCGAGTGTCCCGTTCTGCCAACCTTCACGTGATCCATTCATAATCATTACGATAACAATGATAATAATTATGATAATAACGTTTGTATTATCTATTATCATTTCTTATAGGAGAAAGAAGAAAATTTCATAAAACAACAATATGTTCATTGCAAATTCTATATCAAATAGAACAGTTGAAAGACACCCAATGGGGGTCAACAGGTATAATATATACAAAAACATTTACTGGAGTATTTTGCAAAGATTGATTTCGTCAAAAGTATGCCTAATGAGAACCTTTAGGCAGTTATTACGAACATAAATCAAGCCTTGACAGAGTCGAATAAAATCTATCAAAACATAACCCCATGATTTATCAAAACATCTGTGTCGTCATGAAATCAATATATCATAGATGTCAATGGAATATAACTAATGCATTTAAGTGTTTGTTTGTGAGTGAATGTTATATCATAAATAATCTATTGATTGTTTCAATGTTCAATCATAATTTTGTTCTCTATAGGCGCGGATACAGCCAGGATACTGTTATCTTATTTCTCACAAAGGGCCTACTTTTTACATGATCGTTTTATTGAATATTCCACCATCAAAGTTACCCTACATCGGAAAGCTTGCTTGGGAATGTCAAAATGTTGTAATTTATAAAAACATTTCTTATAGAATATGAAAACGTATACTTGATTTTGTACTCAGTTACACCTGGGTGGCGAGAGGCAAATGTGAATTAATAAAATGTCTGACAAAGAACGTTAGTGCAAGGCTGGAATTCGAACCCTCAACCTTTGGATTGGCAGTGAAGTAAATGAACCCATATACCATGACACCATGTCCATATAGGCTATGCAGGTTTTTTTGGATCGCATCCCAGATGTGTAGAGGTGTAGGTAATGCATTCATTTACGTCCATTCTTCCTGGTATAGACATGCAGATGTCGCCGTGAATATCACCACTGCAGGTTAGACCCGTATAGTTATACATGAGCCTTCGGCGCCATTTTGGATGATGCATCATCCGAGTTTTCTTTCTTCGGATAGTCTCTCTTCTATAACTTTATATTTCCTATTCTTGGAGGATTTAACGGGTATCATAATTTTATCTCTTCCATAACCTTCCTTTTCCCAATTTTGGAGGCTATATTCTTAGATCTTTTTTTCTCTCTACAATAACAATCAATTTTCTACTGTTGCAGGTTTTAATGTGTATTCTAAGTTCCCTTTTCTAACTCTCTCTCTCTCTCTCTCTCTCTCTCTTTCTCTCTCTCTCTCTCTCTCTCTCTCTCCCTGTTTCTCTCTGTCGCTGTCTCTCTCTCTCTCTCTCTCTCTCTATCTCTCTCTCTTTCCATTGGATATATATATATATATATGTATATATATATATAAAGTTGAAATTTTGTTTTACTAGTTTCAATCTTGGAAACAAAAGTTTGGGAATGGAAATACAAGGAGGAGGGAAGCCTAATGTGAAGAAAAGACAGTCAGTGATGTTTGGTAGTAAAGCTAGCTTTGTTTATACGATTACAAACATGTCTTCGCTTATGCATTACACGATGACTAGATTAAGACATCTTTTAAGAGCTGTCGGCTGTTGACATTCAAGATTAACTTTGACTCTCATGTCTATGTAAGTCGAAGCTTATGTTCATAGCTAAGTTTGTTGTTCAGGGTTGTGCTGTGGCAGTCCCACCCCCCCCCCCCCCCCACAGCCCCTATAATCCGATGACAATGGTATTGATGAATGATAAAGAGCTAGAGATGTTATGTACTGCTTTTTGATGCGATCGTACTTATCATTCTTTTTACCGCGTACTTACTGTAACTTTATCCTGTGCAAAGATTTCTTCTGACCCTTGAAATGAATGCAAACGCTCTTGTTAACGTCTGTGCACTCTACACAAAAGGTTCCGACACACCGATGAAACTTTTTTTTAAAGTATTAGTAAGCTTCATCTTGAACCCAAATATGTTTACAAACAACATACATGGAACTATACCTGTTTGAAAAGATTTATACTAAATAAAAATTCTCATACACAGTACATCAAATATGATAGGTTCTTTCGACGTTTAAAAAAAAATCGTTTGCAGGCCAAGAAATTAAAACAAATGTCAACAATGCAACTGAAACATGACCTTTTTTATCAGCTCATGAAGTGTTACTTCCCTATTCATCTTGATAATCTATATCTCTTAAACTTTAGTTATCATTGTAATTAAAATTACCGTCAATATATTTGGTTTGTAAAGTAAGAAAACTCTTCATTATCTCTTAAACATTAGAGAATAACATTCACGATTTATTCAAACATACATTATACTGACGTTGTATAAAGTACATTGTTTTGAATGTTCATGATATTAATATTATGAAAGGAAGTTGCGACCTAAACAAACAAAAAATATTTCGGGTTATCCAAGTTCACACATCTTTATATCCTGTATGCAGGATATTTATACAGAGTAAAAATTGTGGTGGTTGGTAATCTCCTGTTATTGTTATATAATATTTCTAAATGACTTTAAAACATGCTTTGATTATGTACTATGTATATCGATGACCTATCCGGTTTGCAATTCAAGAACTTTGTTTGTTATTACTTAAGGTCGATGAACAGCAGCTATGTACGTTTTAACCAAGGTTAATACATGCTTCAAATATTAGGAAGTAGACGCATTGTCTGTTAAGAAAATAGGAAGTGTAACTAAAAAAAAACATTTCAGGTTATCCAAGTTAGTTTATATCCTATTATTACTATGGACGAAAAAAACAACACATGAAATTTGTAGTATATAATCTAATTTAATCTAATCTAACAACCAATGATATTTGTTTGGCTTCATTTGGTTTATATAGGGTATAGGGTGCGTTTACGATATATACAATTTACGAAATAAAAGTAAAAATGCCTTAATTAGGCAAAATGGTGAACAATTAACTACAAAATAGTAGTCCTGTAATGTTAGTCTGCTGTCTACAGTAATGTCATGCGATGACAATAGTTCATAAAATAATGTGATCATTATCAAAGTTCCTTTTAAAGCAGGTTCCTAACGTCATAGGTCTTGTGTTGTGGCTTCTATAGCAGCTTTATCGCTTGACCAATATAAGGAAGAAGGTCGATTGTAATATCATCAGGGACCGACAGACATGTAAGGGTATGGTTGTTCTGTGCCAAGCCTTGTAGAGAGGGAAGAACACAGTATAGGGTAACATCCATACCAAACACCAAAACAATGTGACGTCATTCGGTGGACGCCGCCATTTTGGGTATCTTGGCTTTCGAACTCTCCATGTCGTACTAACCTGATCGATGCAGGGCTCGCCCCCCCCCCCTCCACCCCCCCCCTCTCTCTCTCTCTCTCCCTCTTTCTCTCTCTCTATCGCTCTCTCTCTCCCCCCCCTCTCTCTCTCTCTCCCCCTCTCTCTCTCTCTCTCTTCTCTCTCTCCTCCATTTCCGTCTCTCTCTATCCTGTTGTCCTTTTTCAAACACTATTCTGTCGAATGAAGATACGTTCTGCTTTGCGATAATGATGCTCGAATGTAACTTACAAAATCGCTGTCTCTGTTTACTCTTTGACCTGTTAATTATTTCCAGATATCTATTTTTGTCTTCTCATTTTATTTTTGAAAAAGCACTTTAGTAAGAAATTAAAAATTTACGTTGATATTCACTTAGTGGGCTGAAATCAATAACTTCAAAAAGAGAAAGAAGATGATAGCGGAGGTTAATTACAGATTTATCATACGCTACATGCCCAAGCTAATAATTACTGGTGTACCACTGAGTAGAAGGCGTATCTTCTAGGACACTGAGCAGCAGCAATTTCA